AAAAAAAAAAAAAAAAAAAAAAAAAACAGCGAACCTTTATCAACTACATCAGATCACAAATCACCTTCTTATTTCTAATATATATACACATATACACATATATACATATATACATATTTATTTATATATATATACAAAATAGTAAATATATAAACACATACATACATAAACAATCTCGCCACCCTATCCATCTGATCCCGATGGGCTTCATCTACACCCATCTGTCTATATCTTTATCTGTATATACCTACCTATCTATATCTTTATATATATATACCTATCTATATCTTTACATATATACCTATATATATATACAGTTTAATGTATAGTTCGCCCTAGAGGTTGCTTCATCAGATACGCCGTTAGCCGAAAGAAATCTTGCCGAAGCGAAAAGCAAAGAGAGACAACGAAAAAGGAATTGAGGGTGCAGGGGGATTCAAATAGAAAAGTCGGCATATCGTTTCATTCATTTCCAATTCAACACTACTCTATGGGTATCTACGTTTCCGCCTTAGCCAAACTCGCAAGTATTTCTGTCCTTCCATATCAAGTGCGCTCAGCCGTCTCGAGCGATGCATCCATGCAAGCACGCATCCATTCATCTAAGCCAAATGGGCCATCGCGCAAAAACATTATGAAATCCATCAACTCCCATTCCGTCGGAAAGGTATTGGAGTGCAGGGATCCTCAATTAAGTAAACAGCGAACTGATATTCACCATCCTCTTCTCTCTGACTACTTTCGAGTTTTGGTACGTAAAGTCAAAGAGACCCTGCAGATCAGTAGTAGATCTTCGGGCTCCACAGAGGTGGTCTCGCGCCCTCGGAATCCCACGACAGCTTGTTCTTCTCATCGAGCATGCACCCCTCGTCCGTGATCGGAATGACCTTCGCCGTGTGCGAGATCTCCTGTCTGGAAATCCCAGACTGATCCCGCGGTATCCACAAGAGAGGAGTGGGAGAAGTGACCGAAGGGGGGTGGTACGCGTTGTTGGCGACCGTTTCCTCGTACAAGTTGTCCGGGTCCAGGAGACCGTGGGGCACCAGGCGGCGGAGCGTCGCGTAGTCGGAGTAGATGTGCGGCTTCAGGAACTTGGAGATGAAGTTGGGCTCCTTCTGCGCTGCTGAACCTTCGGTAATATCTCCTCTCTTCTCCCTGTCTGCCGATGCAGGGTTGGCAGCTTCGATGGATCCACGGAGGAACTCTTCTTCGGCTTCGAGGGACTTGGGAAGGTTGTAGAGGAGGGGGCCGAGAGCCTGGTTCAGCGAGAAGTGGAAGAGGACGGTGAAGACGAGGAGTATGACCATCAGGATGAGTGGGCCAATGGTGGTGGCGATCGAGAAGAGACCGATCAGGCTGATCTCGGCAAGGTAGACGCCGGTGAGGAGTTGTTGAAGTGCACGGGGGTATATTAGACCCTTGGTGTCAATCTGGGAGTCGGTGACGAACAGGATGTTGTAACGGAAGGCGAGGTAGAAGAGGGACATGCCGATGGTAGCAAAGCCGAGAACCAAAGGTGCAATGCAGGAGTAGACGATACCTGAAGGATTGTTAGACCATACTCGACAACTCTTGGCATATTCCTTACCAATAACGGCAATGTTAGTGAACACTGGCAGGGTGCTTCCCCATGAAATGGCGCTGAGACCGGACCACTTGGTGTACATCTTTCGAGGGGTATTCGCGAGAAACTTGTAGATCAGGGTGAAGATGACGAAGCCTACGACTTGAGACAGGACGCTCGCGGCAACCGTCAGACCTTGAACGATAAAGTACGAGATGTAGAAATTTGATGCCGTTGGAATGCGCTCGGCGAGTAGAGAAGTGATGCTGCCGGGGTCATTCTGGAGTTGCTTGATTAGCGCAGAAGCAGATGCAGCGAGCGTGACGACCAAGAACACCTGAATGACCTGGAACATGAAGTAGGCATTCTGGGTGAAGAGTTCGACACGGGATGTGGATGGCTCTCCTGCGAGTTTTCCGCATATGCGCATCACGACCGGAACCAAGGACATGAGGATAGCGAGCAACACCGAGGGCAACAGTCCGCTGATGACACCCATAATCACGGTGGGGATATCGTCCAGCCATTGCAGCCACGAGTAGGACTTGAGGTACGTTATATTCGAGACGAGACCGACAAAGGCAACGGGGATGGCCCAGAAGATGATCATGGCGGTGATGAATCCGATCACTACAATCCGGCGAATGACCTTCTGCCACCAGGGAAAAGCCAAGGACTTCCAGATCACTTCGTTGGGGTTGACGCCGATGTATCGTGGAGACATGTGCAGAGCCTGGTGGTGGGAAAGGGTTTGGAAAGCCGCCTGAGCATCGGATTGGCGGGCAAACTCGATAAAGACACCTCCCACCGCCTCCGTCTCGCCAGCCAGGTACGCAGCTTGCGCCGCATCGACCTCGGGGATCAGAGCCTCCAGCCGGGATCGGCACCAGTCGATAGTGTCGACCTTCTTTCCCACCAAGCCGAACTTGCCAAGCTTGTGAGTGGGTCGCTTCTTCTGCGGAAGCCAGCGTGCCGCAATAGATCCCGACTCGGCATCTAGAGGTGTTTCGAGGAGTTCCTCCTCAGGGTTTGGTGCACCGTTCTTGAGCGCCTTCAATCTCTCGGCGTTAGCGAGCTTAATAAGCTTGATTTCCGCAGCCTCGAGCATATAGGCGACCTTGTCACGTTCCTCCACCAGTTCATCCACGGCCGTGGTGTCGGCCGTGATCCAGATATTCTTAACCGAGTCCCCGAAGACCTTGCGGAGCCTCGCCTGGTCCAGGTAGGGCTCCGGGACGGAAGTAAACAGCACCGTCCGGGCCGAGATGCGATTCGCATAGACTGGCGAGAGGAGGAAGGCCTGGCGCAGATTGATGTAGAAGATGCTTTCGCGCGTCACCAGGAAGAGGACAAAGCCAAAGAAAGCCCATGCGGCGAAGCAGTGAGCGAAGTACTTGTATTTTCCATTGCTCGCGTTCTTGTCGACGTTGCTCATGGAAAGCTTGTCCAGCTGCTCACCTCCTGCCCCACCAGTGATATTAATGGGGAACAAGCTGTGTCGCGAGTCAGCGAGTCAGTCAGTTAGCGAGTCAGTCAGGACTCAAGAGTCCAAAACCGGTTCGGCTGTTTCTGGAGTGGGTGGTGGTGGAGGAGGTGGTACGTACATCGGCCAAGTGATGCAAGAGCCCACGAACATGATAAGCACCGTCATGCGCAGGAATCGAAGAAAGAGGTAGGCATCGAGGGATTGATGTTGGAGAGCGTAAATGTCGGGGATCTTCCAAAAGGCGCGGAACCAATTCAACAGTCCGTTTGGCAGCGGGGCAGTGCGTTCCCTGATGGTGTCAGTGGTTGATTTTCTCATCAAATGCAAAGGTATGCTAGATATACGCATTGAAGATACATACTCCTCACGCAGAGTCCCGAGGTAGGTCCTGGGGGCGTAGAATCGACGCTGGGTCTTTCGCAACACCAAAAAGATGAGGAAGTAGACAGCAGCGATGACGGCGGTTGGCACGAGGGTAGCCACCAGACCCGAGAGGGAGACATTGTCGACGTTTTGGTCGGGAGTGCTCATGCTTGCGGAGGGTGAGGAGGATGAGATGGGTGAGGAGGGTGAGATGAGGTGAGGTGAGGTGAGGTGAAGATATCTCCTTTCAATCTCGAGAAATCGAGAAGTAAGAGCCCGGAGAGGTGGACTTGCAGAAAAAGGGAAGAGCAGAGAACGAAGGGAATTATGTAGGTGGATCGTGGTGGCTGATGATGCCAAGGGGGCAGGGGGGCAGGGGGAAGGACGTGGATGGGGAAGGGATGAGAACGCGCGGGCCAGGTGCTGTCTGTCCCCCGTTGCCCCTTGATAAAGTTGGATGGGAAGGTGCGACTGACAGAATGATTGGATGGTTAAATGGTTGGATAGCTACATGATTGGATGGCTAAATGATTGGATAGTTAAATGGTGAAATGATTGGAAAAATGGTTAAATGATTGGATTATTGGATCACTGTACTCTATCTCTGGCACTCCACCACCGAGGCCCCCCCCCATTGACCAATCGGCAGCATGTCGGCACCCGCTCGCTTCAGGACGATGGGCTGACAGCAAGTCTTGGAGAAGCTTGGCCGGCCAACGCAAATAAATCTTAATTACTGCCAGATTCCGTACACCAGAGACATATGAACATGTGTGTGTCTATATATAATCAACTCCAACAAGGAGGACGAGGTGAATCTCGAAATCAGGGAAAAAGCGAGAGAAAAGATTCATCACGGCCGTTCCGCTGTCTTGCCCCGGACCCGGACCCGGGACCTGGGACCTGGGACCTGGGACCTGGGACCATCCGTCGAAGACCAACGCTAGGTGTGGCTTCAGCCACCGCTATACAGAAAAGAGGTCCACCTAAGAGTGGGAAAAGAAGAAGAATCTTCGTCGAAGAGATGCGGAAAGTCTATATACTTCTTACGTGCGGTATCTAGTGCGACTAGGAAATGGTGACGTAATTAATATCGGTGCTTCCTTCTACGAACTCTCTGCTATAAATACCAGAGAACTCCGCAAGTTGACGCACCACAGTACTACCTAGGTACGTAGTAAGTACTGTACAGCCCTACGGAGTACTACTACTACTAGTAGTAATTACCGCCTGAGGGTCCGAGGGTGGCTCAAAACTTCAAATCTCCACTTTAAACCCCCTGGCTTCTCAGCCCTCGGGCCTCGGGCGGTAAGAATGTACGTAGTACTACGTGCTACTACTTACTACCGGTAGTGCTGAGTAAAGGGCAAGGAGCGTACGTAATCCCGAAGCGAGCTCGGGTGTTTTACTTCTACAGTACTACTTACCAACAACGTACGATCGATACGCGTAAGAGTAATGCGTACGTTTTCAAAAGGCTTGCTTATTTGTATCGTTTGAAGTTCAGAATAACAGTATCTCTCTGATCTTCCATTTTTAATCCATCTCGTTGCGGTCACTTAAACGTGACCTCTATCCACATTAATCATCCTTAATAACGTGATCCAATCTAATTTTGGATTAGCGAAAGGGATATGCCAAAGAAGGCGACGTGCTCCATAAGCCAAGTTTATAGTTCAAGTTTTCGAAACCTTGGCAACCGGAGATCGAGAGTAATCGGATAGCTTTTTAATGAGGAGGCCTCTCAAGCTCTTGGTACAAGAGACCTTCTCAATTTGATAACGTGATCATTAGCACTCAAATTCGTGCTTAGGTATCTTGTCTGCTAAGTAGTATCCTGTAAGATTTGTAAACAATGATAGCGGAGGCAATAGTAAGAGGGAGCTGGGTGCGAGTACAAGCCACATTCCTTAACTGGAACTCGGGTGTTCAAGGCGTTTTTCGAAGGCATGGCTTCTACCTATTATTAAACAGGATTTGTAGTAGTAGTAGTAGTAGTAGTATTGTTTTAACGCCTGCTGCGAGTCTGAAAAAGGAGTCCGACTTACCACCTCCCTAAGGCTATAATGGCGTGCCGGCATTAGGTCCCACCTATAAGCAGGAACAACCTCATCCATAGTACACTAGAAGCACTCCGCAGAAGCAGGTGGTATCCTAACTAATTGAATAGTTTTTTAAATACAAAGTCTATCTACACCGATAAAGTAAAAACCCGTAAGAAAAAGACCAAATCGATATAAAGTCTCGGGTCTCTGACCCCGCGGTATTGCAGCTTTAATACTACGTATATCTTAGTGCTTTTTGTTAATAGCAGATTTGGTTAAGAAAGTGTTAATTGCTGCGGTCGCTTCTTATTGCGATTAGTTATCAGCAGCTCGACACACCGTCTTTCCGACCATTTAATCGAATATCCGATTAAGATCCTTTTTTCTTTTTCTTTTATTGTTCGGCTTTTTGTATTCATGATCGATTATAGTTGTAAGTGTCCTCGGGCCAGCCTCTACTAAAAGTTTCTCTACCGTATAGCAATCCCGAGAGTCTCGAAAGCTAGGCCGCCACCGTATCTACTTCGTTTTTTTAGCGTTTTTATATAAATCGATCGTAAATACCGCTTATCGTGTCGAGGTCGAGAAAAAAGGGTCGAATTTAATCGTTAGATAAAGTCATCGAGCTGGTCGGTAAGATCGGGTTCGAGTTATATACGAAAAAGTATATTGTAATACTTATTCCGTATCTTTAACCGTCGTTCGTTCCGTCGGCAGATACGAAAAATACGGCTAGCATCAGAGTGCATCGCCTCGATTACCTTTCGAAAAAAGTACGTTTTCTAATCGGCTTTACGAATATTATTAAGATTATCGCAAGTTCGTAGCTAGCGCTACGTACAAGCTCAGAAATCCGTCTTCGCTGGCCAACAGGATTTGTAGGAACTCGCCATTAAAGGGGAAAGTATTCCACAAGCTGTAAAAACGATATCCTCAATCATTATCAATTGATATTCAAGAAGTATAATAGTTGACGCGATCAATCGTGCAGTTGATACGCGTTAAGATACCGGGAAAAGGAGCGGGGATAGTCACAAGTCGCGGGCGCTGTTATTTAAGATTCTGCCGCTTGCTGTTAATCATCGAGAATCACGTGGCAATCACGCTGTACTCTGTACGTCATTTTAAAGTTCTGCTACCCGTTACCACGCGCACTGTTTAACTAAGCAATCAATCACGTTCGCTTGAAAAGTTTATTTGCACTTTCTTATAATACCTAACCTAGCTCCGATGCAATCACAACAACAGCGATAACAACAACGATAACAACAACGGTAACAGCAGCAACGATAATAACGACAACAACAACGATAATAAAAGCGATACTAATAACAACAACAATTGTAACGATAATTATAACAATAACAAAAATAACAATAACAATAACAGCGATAATGACAACACCAATAACAGCAACAATAACAGCGATTACAACAACGATAATGCCACAAACAACAACAACAACAACAACAACAACAACAACAACAACAACAACAACAACAATAACAAGGTTACAGAGATTCAATCTCGATTGCTCTCTGCTGACCATTGCACAAGCAAGATAAGCACGAGGTATCCATACTCGCTTTGCATTAGTGATTCACATAAGGCTCGCAACGGAGACTCCATTAATTCTGCTCGGTTGGTTATCACGTCTCTCACACTTGGCTCTCTCTCTCTGTCTGCATTTCCTCGTCTTCACTCGCCTCGCTCACAAGAATCTTGATCTTCTTTTCACCTACCTTTGTACCTATTTCCTACTCTTTTTTATGCCAAGCATCTTCTCAGTCTCCTGGTATTCTGGGCACTCCGTTCATGCATACGTCGTACATATCTTCAATCCGCGAAATCCGAACAAAAAGACACCACGCAATGATTTTTTTCTTCAAGCACGTGTATACTTTTCGCGCCTGGTGTAGGTGTATTTTCGTTGCTTCGACAGTTCTTTGGGATCGAGAAATCTCTTGTTGATAGGGAGGCTTCAAAAGTCAGAGGGAGTACCGTAATACTCTTGGTTGCAAGGTCATCCATCGGCTCCTGCGGAATCTCTCGTGTTTTGAGACAGCTTGCGATCTTCTATGACGACCTCAATTCCTCTTCAATCGTCTGATTGTACGGTGTATACTCCGCATATGCTACCGTCTTCTCTTGGTACTGCGTTTTGCTTGCATGCATGGTGCTCCTCAGCACGCGAGCCTGGATCTTCAAAGGGGAATTATCGCAGCGATGTTTAGCCCAGGTGAGTAGACTACGTATGCCTCCGCGATACTGCACGCAAAAGCAACTTCCCCCGCTGTCATGCGTATCCTACCCACTCTCCCTTTCGTATTTTTTTCGTATTTCTGTCGTATTTTTGTCGTATTCTTTTCGTTTTTTTTTCTCGTATTTTTTTCGTATTCTTTTCGTATTCTCTCGTATTTATTTCGTATTCTTCTCGTATTATTTTCGTGTTCTTTTAGCAAGCCAGCAACTCGTTGACAATATACTGCACGAAAAGCAATACCCACCGCTGCTACTGTATCCCCCCTTTTAATACATGGGGAAAGTAGAATTTGGCATGGGCTCTTACTAGGGCTTAAACCAATCAACCAAGGAGTAGTATTTGGGGAGGGGAATAGTATCATGCGTCTATCCACTCTCCCTTTCGTATTCTTCTCGTATTCCTTCGGCAAGCGCGCCAATCGTCAACAGCACGTCCGAACGTAGGGTATCGATCCACAGATCGCCTGTGATAGAACGGTGGCCAACGAATGTGTGAAAGATAGCAGCCGACAGCTTGCCTTATTGGCGCACGATTGACTCTTGGGGCTGATCCGAAGTCATAACACAATGTAGTTGAATACATATCTGAGGAAGAAACCCGCCTTCCATCCTCGCCATCAGCTCTTTTTTTTTTCTTTTTTGGTCAAGCTGGATCATGTCTTCGGCGACCTCAAACATGACTTCTTGGGCAACCTCAAACATCATGTCTTCAGCGACCTTGATCATGGACAACATCAGGGACAACTGCAGCGTATCCGGACTGGTGGCGGGTACAGCAATCGCAGTAAGAGAACTCGGCAGAAGGGAAACCGATGCTCACATTACACTTGAGCTAACACGTCCAGTACATCTCCTACTCGCTCCTTACAGCACTCTACAATCTCACTCTCCACCCGCTTGCCAAATACCCAGGCTCCAAGCTCTACGGTGCTTTCTACTTCCCCGCCTATTGGGACATTTACCAGGGACACGACAGTGAGATATACAAGCAGCAGCACGAGAAGTACGGGCCCCTTGTGCGCGTGAGGCCCAACAGGTTGTCTTTCAGCACCGCGCAAGCTACCAAAGGTAACCCATGAGCCTGCGAGCCACCATGTGCGGTGGCCCAGTAGAAGTTCGCTCGCTCGCTTACTGACCCACCACAACAGACATCTACCTTACAAGACATGCAAACAATTACACGCTCGCCAAGGACCCCGATTTATTCTCCGAACCGATCGAAGGCACCCCCAGTACGCTTGCAAGTAAGTAGAGCCCAAAGCCCAAGAGGCTTAACGGTCTATTCTTCCTCTCTGTTTGCCTTATTGAAATCATGTGTGTGATTTTCAGATGTCGATGCCCAGAATCACAAGAGACAGCGACGCGTGATAAGTCATGCCTTCTCAACGGCGGCGCTACGGGATCAGGAAGATATTGTGCACCGGTATACCGATATGCTCATCTCGCGCTTGCACGAAAAGGTCACCGGTCCGGAGAAGGGAAAGGTGGAAATATCTCTCTGTAAGTCCTGCCCCCCCCCTCGAAAGATTCCCCCTCCACGCATCGCTGGACGTGGGCTGTCTAGCTGTGCATTGCAATTCTCAGTGACCCCCTTTCATTATCTGCCCGGGTTACTTTCTGAGTCGACCTCCCCCAGGGTTCAACTTCATGGCATTCGACATCATCGGCGACCTAGCATTTGCCGATCAGTCTCACTCCCTCGAGACAGGCGAGAACAGCTCGTGGATGACAGCCTTATACGAAAACCTCTCAGCTTCCATGTTCCTCCGCGTCTGCAGAGCGTACCCGCTTGCCCACTTCGTCGTGCAGTCCATCATGAAACTAAGCCCCGCCGTCGCGTCAATAATCTTGAAGGTCAAAGACGATTCGACGAGCAAAATGATGAAGCGGTTTGAATCAGATACAGATAGGAAGGACTTTACTAGGTGCCTATATCCCATCATCCTGTTCTCTTCGGGGTATAAAGCTTACCAAAAAGTCATTTCTTGAAACACAACAATGGGCACATGACAGTCGCCGAGCTCACCGCGAACGCTGATTTCTTTATGATTGCCGGCTCGGAAACCACCGCAACCCTCCTCAGCGGCATGTTGTACCTCCTCACACAGAACCCCACAGCATTTAAAAAGCTGCGTGAAGAGATCGATGCCAACTTTACGAGCATGAGCGAAATGTCTTTCGTCAAGGAATCTCAGCTACCATACCTGCACGCCTGCACTGAAGAAGCGTTGCGATGCTACCCCCCGGTCCCCCTCGATCTCCCACGTGTAACGCCCCCCCACGGGGCGGTCGATCGACGGCATCCACGTACCAGGAAACGTGAGTATCAAAATAAACATTCAAAATAGATTCCCCCCCCCCCCACCCCACAAGAGAACACACACACACACACACCTCCCTCTAACGCGAAGACCAGATGTCCGTGGGAATCCACCATCTGAGCACGTTCCACTCGGCTCGGAACTTCAAGAACCCAATGGAATTCCACCCGGAGCGCTGGCTCGGCGACAAGGAATACGCGGGCGACGAGCTGGCTGTGCTGCAGCCCTTTTCGATCGGTCCGCGCAACTGCCTGGGGAAGGTAAGAGTTTTTTCTGTTCTTCTTTATTCTCCTTCTTTTGCTCTCGCCGATCCGCTTCCCACGGCCTCACACAGGCAGCAGTCGCAGTCGCAAGTCGCAAGTCGCAGCAGCTAACAGGAGCCGAAAAGGGCCTCGCCTACGCGGAAGTCAGAAGCATCATGACGCGCTTGTTGTGGAATTTTGACGTTGAGCTTTTGCCCGAGTCCAAGAACTGGATGGTGGGTCAGAAGTCGTTTGGTCTGTGGAAGAAGGGCCCGTTGTGGGTGAAGTTGTCGGTCAGAAAAGATCGACGATGAAGGGAAGACGAGTATAGATGGGGGTTTGGGTTTGGGTTTGGGTTGGTTTATTACTCTACCTACTTACTCTGGGTCTCGTTTGGTTCAACACCAAAGTTATACGTACAACCTGGCTGCCAAACTCAGGTTGTACAAACCCTTACCTTACAGGGAGGTAAGGGGTTTGTTAGATCGGTCAGCTAGTCATCCTATAACAATCACTTTTTCAAAGACGGTCCCAAGGCCCCGGAGATTGGCGTAGTCAGTCAGTAGATATCACTTCAGGTTTGTGTAAAAAAAATTTCTCTTCAGATTCGAATGAATTCCGAAAATATACGATTTAAAGCTGTTCGATTCGTAACACTCCCTCACTCACTGATTTTACGAAGAAGAAGGTCTAATTAATAACCGTCTCTCTCTCCTAAGAAAACAGGGTCAGAGAGAGGACTATTGAAATAACCATAGCCCCTTTTACTTGCTAAAACCTGATAATTCAAAAACAACGTTCTGGTTTCCGTCAAGATAGATAATCTTCGGTTACCTTGAATTTAATTCGAAAGAATTGACCGACTTGCTGTAGCAAGTCGGCACCCACCAAGGCGAGACAGTACTACTACACCACCTATCAAACAATAACTACTAATATAAACAATAATATATATATATATATATATATATGCCCGTACCAAGCATTACTTTATAAACGTATATTAAGAATATAAAGATACCTTTAATTGTGATGACCCGATATATTAAAACATAATGAGAATATGTCTAAAAACTGTTCCAAATAATTCAATTTTACTTTGTCTGCTTTGAATATATTCATGACCACAACCTCAGTTTTTTTAGAAGAAAAAAAAAACGTCCCATAAATCGAAAATAAATAATCTAATATAACATGTTACAAAAGGTACTAATGATTAAATAGAAGTTGACAATGATGCACGTGTTCCTTCAAGAGGTTTTAGTAGAAAGTCCGATTTTCGTGTTCCTCGCTCGTTCTAGTATTTACACGGCAATTCTAACATACCGTATACCTACCTAGGTATACGGTTGGATTTGGAGGTCTTGGCTAGCGAACAACTTTATCCGTATAATCTGACTGTACGGATGACAGGCAGAGAGATCAAAGGTGGTTTGATTGATTGATTTGTACAGGCTGTACGGATTTGTATGGGATAGGGTGGCGAAACGGGTTGTACGGTACAGTATAACCAAGGTTTAGTATAACAATCGATTGTGACTAAGGCTGAAACCTAACAAACAATAAACACCGAACGAGCGAGCACCCTCCGTAGGTAGGTTCCGTATGATACAGGCAAGGGTTGCTGTACAACCTCGGTGCTGATTGAACCGAACGAGCACTTTCTTACTGTAAGCGCGCGCGCGAGTGAGAGAGGGGGTGGAGAACAATAGCCTGCATTCCAATTGTCTCACTTGTTTGCGATTGAGGGAAGGATTGATTGTTGTTGTTGCATTCCTCGTCAAGGGTCCCTACATTCCTCAGCCTGTCAACAAGGAGCAGAGGCCAAAGGATCGCTCTCCAAACTTGATTGAACAATACCCCCGATTTCTCCAATTTTTTCCATGTCCCGATTTCCTGTTCCCGAGTTCTGATTTTTTTTTTTCGTTCCGCAGACATACAAGAAGCCATCATCGACCTACCAGTCGACTGGAAGGAAGAATCGCATTGACACCATGGCTCACCATGCTCACCACCATGCTCACCACCATGCTCACCACGCGCAGCCCGATGGCCCCCTGCCTTTGGGCATGACACAAGATGAAGCCCAGAGGGCGGCCGCAGCGCAGAGGCAGAACCCGGCCCAGCTGGGCAACCCACCATCCGGCCCCCTTGACTGGATCGGCCCAACAAGGTGGGCGCCGACGTACCGCTCCATCTTCACCAAGATGGGCTCGAACGACACGATCGTCGTCCCGCTCATCGGGCACGTCAACTGCAGCTACCTCTCGACGCGCGGTATCGTGCCGTCCCTGCTGGACCTCAAGAAGCACGCGCAGTCGCTCGTAATCCTCATCAAGCAGATCACCGTGTCCAGCCAGCAGGGCATCATCGACAACGCCAACAGCCCGGGCGTCGCGGGCGCCTTCCCGTTCAACGACGCCGAGACCTTCGACTTCCTCAACGACCTGACCCGGGCGTACGAGGGCCCGAAGAATCCGGCCTTCATGCGGAGCCACCAGCTCCCGCTGACGTCGCTGGTCAACCTCCTCGAGCAGACGGAGCAGACGGGCGGCCCCGTGCTGCTGCCGAACGGGGACAGCTATGTCAATCCCGAGCTGGCGTGGGTGCAGAACATCTGTCCCATGCACGAGGCGCCGCCTACGGAAGTCATGGGACCCGGCCTGCCGTACTCGACCGTCGAGGCGTTGATCGACCACGCGAACGAGGTGCTGGAGCGGCTCGACCACGAGTACTCTGCCAAGGGCGGCCTGTTGGGCATCCTGCCTCCCAAGGAGGAGAAGGAGAATCGCGCCTTGGCCGAGACGACGCTTCTCGGGCAGATGGTCCTGTACATGCAGCGCCTAGTCCAGCGCCTGCATGATCTAGAGCGGCTGTATGCCAACGCGCAGGACTGTCTCGCGACCGAGGCCGTAGCAGTACACCAGGCGCTCAGCACGCTTGGTCCCGACGGCCGGCAACCCCGGGAAATGGTGTACCCACAGGACCGCTTTGTGCTTGTCAACGCCGGCGAGGAAGTCTGGAAATACCTGACAGACCAGTTCGACGCCCAGGACACAATGGAAGAGACTGTCGCGCAACATTACCGACGCAAAGGCGCTGCCGCAGAGTCATTGTGGCGCACCGGTGAAGCCGGCAAGATCTACTCGAGAGGCATCACGGCCATTGATATCAACACACGGTACTACCGCCTGCGCGAAGATCCGCTCAAGACCATCTTCGTCATCCCCGCTCATGGTAAGCACCCTGGTGTGAGCGCTACCCGCAAGATGGAGAAGGATCCAACAGTCGTCAGCGTCGTGAAGCCCGTATGGCCGGAACGAGCCAGCCAGTGGGAGATGAACCACAGGCAAGAGCTGGCGCAGGCTCGCCTTGACAGAGATGCCCTCAGGAACTTGCAGGCAACAACCGACCAACTGATAAGGGAGAGGGATGCTGCCGTAGGGAGCAAAGCCATCGCAGTTGCCAAGGCCCGTGACATAGAGAAGACGCTCCACAATGCAATGGAAGACCCCAATACGAACCTGAAGCAGTGTCAAGAGGCTCTGACGAATCTCAAGGTCCAAGAGACGAGACTAGCCGAGGAACGGAAGCAGCTCGATGAGCAAAAGCATCTCTTCGAAGAACAGAAAAAAGCCCACGCCAGGTTGGAAAAACAACTCAACGAGACGGCGAAGCAGCAGGATGCGGCGGCAAAGAGAGCCCAGGACGAGGCTGCAACGAGGGCGGAGAATCTGAGACGGATGGATAGGGAGGCAGCCGCGTCGGGTCACGCGCTAACAGAAAAGCTTCAAGCGCTATGGTGCAAGCAGCTCCAGGAAGTGGCTGAGATGAAGGCCCATCTGAGTAAGAAGGGGGTGGCCTTCAATACCAATGAGACATTAGACCCTCTCACACCAAGAGACGATGCTTTCATTACCCAGCAGATCAAGGACATAGTTGCAGCACAGAAAGCAGAAGACGAGCAACGAAACAGAGGAACTGACGACGCCAGAGACTCTCAGATGGGCGGGACTTGATTGTTGTTGATGTTCAAGGCAAGTGACTGGAGTTGGCTGGCTTGCTCGGGTTTGTTTTGGTGTTTGTCAGCTCTGACAGGAGGCTGATTTGGAGACATACCTTTATTTAATTTTTTATAATTCTTGCTGTTTGGATGTTCCATTAGTATTTCAATTACCACCAGAATCATCATTGCAAAGTTTTTCGGGTCTGCAATCGGTGATACTGACCTTCGAGCCAAAATTATATCGCTGTATTAGGAGATAAAAAATTTTGAAGCATCGAGGCCTCATGCGCGTATAAATTTGATACTCCAAACAGACCTAAACCCTTTGCAAACGCCACTGACCTTTGAAGAACCCGAGCAGATCACCCGCTTTAACCAATGGGCTTCGCCTTCTTCTTCTTCTTTTTCTCCCCGCCCTTCTGAAAGTCCCTCCAGCTACCGATCCGCTGCTCCCTCGTACTCTCCCAGTCCTGCTCATGTTCCCTCTTGCGCTTCCGCGCCTCGAGCTCCTCATCCTGCTTCTTCTGCTCGCGGCCCTCCTCCTGCATCTGCGCCTTGACCTGTCGGCGTCTCCTATGCTCGTTATCAATCAGCACCATCTTGGTTTTCTCCCGCCAGTCCTTCGCAAACTCGGCCGTCTTGAGCTCGGGGCTGTCCACCGTCCACTTATTCTCGCGGATAAGGAGCATGCGTGCGTCAGCGATGGCTTCATCGAGGCGCTCGCGGTGCTTCTCGTCCATCAATTCCGTCTGCGCCTTTTTCAATCGGTCGAAGGCCTCCGGAGCCTGCGCATTCTTGGTTTTGTCCGGATGGATTAGGAGGGATTTGGTGCGGTAGCATTTCTTGATGTCGGATTCGGGCACACCAGGTTGGAGGTCGAGGACTGCGTAGCTGTGAGCTGGTTAGCAGGGTGGCGGGTGCCCGTTTGAGGGTATACATACGCATCTAGACGGAAAGCTTTTAAAATTCGATCAATCTCAGCATCCTGTGAGGAGGGGGGGAATCAGTAAATGTGGATGGTAAGGCTGTCGTGGGTAGACTCACTTTCAGGTACTCTTTCTCTTCAGACTCTAGAGCTTCAAGTGCGTCGATATCATCGTCAGCTTTCACAGGCTTGGTAGTCATGGCTCACCAATTATTCCACAAAAGAATAATCTTCCTTTCGATGTTGTGCGATTGTGATTGAGCAATGCTCGTGAGAATGGTGGCGAAGACAGGTCAACGGCCGGGCGAGATGCGCGTGGTTGGGCTTGTTGGTCACGTGGTCTGGTCAAATATAGCTTGCTAGCGCGTATAGAATATTGCGGCTTCGTCGAGTAAGCAAGTGATGCATGCTTAAAGATGAATTGTTCATTGTTTAGTTATAGCAAAGAGTAGGGTGCTGGGTAGTAGCGAGCTAGAGAAAAATGCATACGGTCACTTCTAACACCAAGTCTCCTACAGCGCTGCTATGTAGCGCCTGTTACCGACGAAAATTACCCTCTCCTGTCTGAGTAAAATATTGAATCTGAGCTTTCTTTGAGATTGTAACTAATTTTATTGTTACGGGCGAACACTATGGTATGATCATTAACTATAGCATAATTAATATAGGAGTGGATTTTCCGGAGACCTCTCTGAATTGTGAGTATCACAAAACGATATGTTCTCATTTCACGAAATTATGATAGTGGCCAATTTTTCATAGCTCACTGTATCACCTTTTGTAGACAAGATTGATCTAACTTGTATCTGAGGTTAAGATTTTTCTAGTCATTTTTTTTTCTGCGACCTCGCTTAACTGTTTACATATATCCGAAACAACTCCCCAAACAGGTTACAGTATGCCATCTCTCTATACCACCTTCAGCCACTCTAGGCTGCCTTCTAACGAAATTTTCTATCGAATGATAAAATGACTTATTGCCAGATCAATCCCGAGAGGAGCAATCGGACTTCGCAAGCTTATTGCTGCTCGAATGGTTCCCCTTCCGAATTGAACAGGAAGTATTTTGGCTTCCAGTCTAGCTCCGAGCGAAATCAGGAGCAAATATTTCAGTGACATTATGAACGGTCTGTTTACAGACAAGGGTGATGGCACTATCACAAATAGCCAACTCAGGAATGGCCACTAAAGCTTGAATGGTCATCCAAGCTTCTTTCAGCAGAGGTGATGGGAAGCCGCCATTTACAATTCCGCTTGCCAAGCCGAATTTCCACTTCTCGAAGTCGGCGTTGGTACCTGGTGTGATATTATCGATATACTCTTTGATATGTGCTGGGGCGTGGTATCTATGGCCGTCAGCCATTGAAATATAATCAGCCTCGTGGTTGAATGTACTGATCGCAAGCCACTGTCTTTTCGGCAGCAATATCAGCAGATACCAGCCACTCGTGAGCGGTTTCAACAGCACCCTGAGAAGGTACAGAAATATCTGCAAACTCCTCAGCATAAAAGTGTTGGTCATACCTCTTAGAAGTGGGGTGTGAGCTGATAGCTGGCCAGAACCCTCTGGCGTAAATTGAACTTGGGTGAAGCATACACTTTCTGACTTCCATCGAAAAATCTTGACTATTATCCAGAATGCTCTGGGTCATACCAGGAATATAGGTCGCAGCTTCGACCCGGCCTATCACCAACCAGGATTTGGGGATATGAACACGATTCTCATATAAAAAATGGCTGGAAGCAGAAAGAGTTGCTGCGGAATATGCGGTGTGGGCTCACACTTACAAGAGAAAGAGTTGTAAGAGTCGCATGGTGGGGATGCTGAAATTAAGGATCTGTGCCCACCTCAGAGGAGAAAAGAACTAGCTTGAGATATCATACTCAAGGATTGTTGATGTGAGAGCCACCAGAACGGTAACTACGGTATGATGTCGGTATCAATGTCCAAGGGCTACATTAGTATAAGTAACTAAGAGAGTAGGCTGTGCTTGAAAAGGATGTGGAACTCGTCCGAGGTTGTCAATTTTCGACTGCCCTTGGCTAGAATGAATCTAGGACGTACAGCTGCGATTTTCTCGGCCAAGAGAAGCTGTCTAAAGGAAACTACCGAAGAGTAAATCCGAATTCGTACATGCTATCTTGAGTCAGATGCCGAGTGAGAGCAGCGCAGATCTCGAAGCCTGAATCCAAACCCGCCAGCCACTCACCGCTATAGGCTTCAACTGGAGCAGTTCTTATTTCGTGGCTGCAAAGCTTGTGTGCGAATTGGCCGGTATTTGAAAGGGAAAGCAAGCTGATGAAGCTTTTTTTATATTAGAATGTTGAGGCAGGGCGTCGAAATTGGCAAGGCTTGATATGCTTGGGAGGGGAAAAGGCGCGCACAGTATTAACGACCCAGGCTAAACTCGACGGAATGATGTCTCTCTCCGGGCCCCTCCCCGCAGAATGGTGTCGAGGTGATATGGCTTACTGTAGATTATCTGCCGGAGACGAGCTACGAAAAATAGAAGTAAAGAGGGAAATGGAAGAGCTCGATTTGGCAATAAAACAGCCCAGATGTCTGGAAATTCCCGTAGAATAGACAGATAATGCAAGACTAGAATCACTCCATCGTCCTAGGAGGAGCAAAGAACGCTTTCCGTAGCAGGATACTTGGTTTGGATTTGAATTCGAGAATCGAAGAGCGTCCAAAAGAATATTCACGAGATAGGATAGAGGCGTTCAGATCTTGGCTCCATAAACACATGGGACTCAGCTCCTCAAGATGAGCACGGCTGCCTAGCTTATAACAACTCATCTTAAAGATTATCTGAGCCCTAAAAAATAGTGAGAAAGACCTCGCTCGACGTCACTAACTAGATATGAATGAATATTTCCTAGGAATCAAGCCATCCGATGCCAATCGCACGTCACGACACCAAACATTCGCACCCTCAGAGTCACGAACATTTCCAATCAGGCAAGTTAAAGACTTAATGACAACGGACTCAAGGGAGCTCATAACAATGACTACTGGCAGGCTGTACCGATTGTTATCACTCCTCTCACGGTATCCTCTCATTTTCGTAAAGCCAGCATTTCGCGATGTCGCAAACGGACTGTTGCATGGTGCTCCCGACTTTCAGCATATGAAGTCCACATTGGATTGAATACATTCCCCCAGAGTGTTGAACGGACTTCCATCCCAGCACGTAGAACCAGGTGCGTTGAGGCAACAGTAGATGAAAGGCCGCTCGAGGGATCGAGGGCAATTTGAGGTCTCGTGGCAACAAGTGAGTGCTAGAAACAGCCATGCCATTAGCCCATGTTTCCTGAAGACGACTGTACGGAGGAGAAGATAATTTAGGTTTTTTACTTTTGTGAAAGCCTCGTGGAAGATGGACTGGTGTAGAGATAGCGATGGAAACAGCGTTCTGCGCTGCTAGAATGGCCATCATCAATGTTTGGAAGATGCTCGATTTGGGAGCCATTTGGCGGGTCATCGTTGGCCTATGTTACCGCAGTATCTTGCTGCTTGGAGAGCCTGAGGACGAGATTTATACGTAGGGTTCCCCTTTAGATCAGAAGGAGGCTGATACCTCCTGAGCGCGGGTAAATATATGCCGATGAATCCTCGCAGCTCGCAATATCAGCAGGCAGAAAGAATTTATACGCTAAGGGGGAGTCTGTCTCCAAGTTTAATAGGAATACCACAAAAGCAATAATTTCAAAACACAGCCTTTCAACTCCTGCAAGGCTCGACTAGAGAACGAAGTGTTATTGTTGCCTACAAATGCACCTTCATCTACTACATACAAGGCTGCTATAAATCTGCATGTGCAGGAATAGATTGGACCTGCACTCTGGTACTTCGTTATCCTTTCGTTGCAGGAGGAGATAGCTGATCTCGTGCGATGCAAAAGCATGTCGTATTTCTTCCGTCTTGGGACTGAGCCGACCAAGCCGATATTGAAAGATGCCCAGGAGGTCCAGACAATAAACAAGTACAGGCCCGTGTACTCGAGAAAGGCGGACGGAATTCTGTTCTTGGGGTGACCTTGGGGAATTCCTCGACGGCTGGGGACATGAAACGAAACGGCTATGTGCTATTCCTTTGCAAGTACCGTGGCACTTGTGGCACATTGATGGAGGTGACGATCCGAGACCCAGCGTCGCTTGCTGGGTTGACTAGAGCGTATTTTATAGTGCAAATTTTTAAAGGAGAAGGTATCGGAAATGGCGTGATGTTGATTCAACTCGTCAGCATTGCCTATCGAATTCAAACCGAAGAGTAAAAAGGGACTTGGTTTCAACTAGAGTCCGGAGAGAAATGTATGGTTGCAAGTATTGGAGAGCAATGGCACTCCAAACAAATAAATAGGCTATGAGACGGCTACTTCACCTAGACTTGCAAGCCATAAGTCCTTCAAATTGCCGGATGTGCCATCGGCGAGGATGTACCAAAGAATTCTGGACCATGGAGCACGATATACAGGCGAGTCGAACAAAGTGCGTAATGGTCGCCAATGTGAAGATCTCAAGCTGAGAACGAAGAGGCTGATGTCGTTGAAATGACTACGAGGCGAGCTATAGCCTCATACCTGTGGTGGGGATAGATTTGCAAGGAAACAGATCGCGATTAAAAATATCATGAATACTGTAGAGGAATTGTTTGAATACTATAAAAAAACGGGACATATCCCATTCCATATCCGAAACAAAATATAAACTACCAGAGATTGTCATAGTCATGTGACTATAATCTAGTTACCAACCTCTTTACGCGCTGTTGACGCGTCTCGCGTCGGGTCGTCCTTCAGCAAGTCAGCACATAAACAGCCCTCAACATCACAACCAACCAGCAACCATGTGTATGTCCAACGTGTCCAAATCCCGAGGCTAAGTCGAAAAACACTGATAAGGAATAGCAAACTATGGATACAGTGGTGCTGGCAGCGGTGGCGGCGGCGGATACTCCACGACCTCGTACGGCGCACAAGGCGGGGCCGATGGAGGAGGATTCATGGGAGGTTCACAACAAGGGAGTCAGGAAAGTCCAGGAGGAAATAAGGTATGCTAAAACCCATATGCTTAGTAGCACATTCATTCTGACAATCTGCCGAGACCTACGGAAAAGATACATTACGTCCAGTCACCATCAAGCAGATCATCGATGCGTAAGGAGCCTTCCTCGACACGAAAAAAAAAACCCCCTCGACTAACACCATAACAGCCAGCAACCCCATCCCGACAGCGACTTTAAGATAGACGGCTCAGAGGTAACCCAAGTACGCCCCCCTCTCTGCCGACTCCCCGAAAAAAAGTAAAGTGTAGCTAGCTAACACCACCCAGCTAACATTCATCGGCCAAATCAACCAAATCTCGTCGCAAGCGACCAACACGACATACAAGCTCGACGACGGCACGGGTCTAATCGAAGTTAAGCAATGGGTCGACAGCGACGCCGATCCGGACGCCGCGAAAGATTTCCCCAAGGAGGGCGAGTACCTGCGCGTCTGGGGCCGCCTGAAGGCGTTCAACAACAAGCGCCATGTTGGCGCACACATGATTCGCCCCGTCAAGGACTTCAACGAGGTTAGCTACCACCTGCTCGAGGCCACGGCCGTACACCTGTATTTCACACGTGGCCCGCCAGAGTTGAATGGAGTGAAGAGCGAGGGCGGCAATGGCATGTTTGTGGATAGCAACGCGGGCGCCAACGGGGCAATGGGCGGCCAGACGAAGAAGCTGCCGCCCAAGATGACCTCCATTGCGAAGAGGGTCTATGAGGTGCTGAAGAACTCTCCGCAAAATAATGAAGGGATGCACGTTCATCTTATTGCGTCGCAGCTGGGGGTCAATCCGAACGAGGTCTTCAAGGCGGGTGATGAGCTGCTTGGCGAGGGAGCGATATACACGACGGTGGATGATGAGACGTGGGCCGTGCTGGAATATTAGAGGAGTGGATCTGGGCATATGGCGTTTGGGGAAGGGGCCTTGGTAGGCATGTGCAGATGTTTGTGGGTAGATGTTTATGGGTAGGTGCCCGTCAGTACCCAAAATCATGAGAACTATGAAATATTCAGAACGTTTACGAATTGCATTGCGATGTTTACCATAGTGTTGCTATGAATCCACCCATGTACGAAAGCTCACTCAAAGAACCCAAAGCGAAAGAAAATCAAGCTGCAAAGAATGCCCAAATCCGCAACTCAAGCTTATGTATCCAATCTGATCCTCCTCATCAAAAATCCAAATAGCCCTCAAAATCGCGACCCGTCACCCATCTTTCATCACTCATAACCGCCGGTCCATGTTGATAGAGAGATTTCCTGGTTTCCACGATCTGCTCAATCCTTCATTCCATCCACCATACTGCCCCTCGGCTCCCGAACCATAATGTGCAACTTGATAGGCTCAGGGCCACGCTTGAGCTCGATATCCGAATGATGCACGAACCCGTATCTGCGGTAGTAAGGCAGGTTGCTCGCAGCGGAGGACTCCAGGTAAGTGGCGCGGTTCTCACCGTCGGCCTGGGATTATCATTATACTTAGCAATTGCTTTTCGCGTCCGTGTCTGTTTGGAATTCGGGAAAGGAGCTGAGATCAAAGGAGGGTGAGGAGACGTACGATGACCGTCATATGCTCGATCAACTTCCTCGCGTATCCCTTCCCCCGGGCGCTTGGCTTAGAGCCTAGGTAGACGAGGTAGTAGGAGTCGTCGTCGCGGTCACCCATGACGGCGTGCTTGGTGTCGTGGAGCAGCGGGAGGAACTCATCGTAGAATCGCTTCTTACCTTCGGAGGAGAGTTTGTACCAGAGGCGCCACATGCCGGATCGGAGGATGGTCCAGAGGTCATCCATGTTATTTCCTGGCGGCATCCTAGTTGCTTCTGCATGAGTTGTATGTTCTTACAGCGGATGTGTCTGGTAAGAAAGAGACTGGTACAGAGACGTACCAGAGCGCAACAGCGTCGTAGTCTGGCCCAATGGTCGTCACGATGCCTTTGTAGCAATGAGCTGCAGTGATGTAGCGCAAGATATCACAATGCAAATTGTACTTGAACTCTTCTGAGTAAGCATTCATGTCCGGGGTATCAATGAAGTACCTAGCCACTTCATCGACAGCAAAAGCTTCAGCGAGAGACTTTGCGGCCTGCTCGTACTCAGCGATACCAACGACTCGGACTTCCTCGCTTGATGCAGGAGAGAGACTACGCTTCTTCTCGAGAAGGACGGTGGAATTATTGTTATTCTGCGCCATGACTGCGGTTTGAATTGACTATCAAGTGGGACGGAAGTTTCTCCAGACCATTAACGGCTGAAGTGGTTGACAGATGGGATCTACGCACATGGTTTGGCTGGTCTCGTTAAATCACCTGTATGCTGTTTAGAGAGCTGCGTTCTCGACACTGTTTCGTATCGAGAAGGAAATCGTAGGCAGTTGAGACTTTGGCGTACGTCAACCGACATCAACGTTGAGTTTCTGGGGTCCTGGGGAGATTGGGGAATGGATGGGGATTGATCTGTCGGACGAGAGTTGACTTGTAGATCAGACGAGGGAGTGAAGAATGGTATTTCTCGAAGTAGAGCAGTGGAGCCGAACTACAGTCGTTTGCTTCTGGATGAGTTTGTGAAGAGCAGATGGGAGCTTTTCGCAAGTAGTGCAGAAGTAGTGGTGGTGGTAGTGGTGGAAGAGAGCGATGGGGCCAGGGCTTTATGTAAACAGATTCGCGACCCTATCGAGGGATGGGAGGAAAGGAGGATAAGAAGGATCTCGCCTGTTGTCTGACAGCCCCACCAAAGACGCCAGACCAGACCCAGGATGGCTTCTCCTCGTATCCCACCGTCCAACCAACCACAGACATCCCACGCATCCCGCAGATACGTAGTAGATACTGTAAATCCGTCCCGAGACCCTTTGTGACTTGGCAAACCGATCATCTCCCTTGCGCCTGGGCACTTGCACGTCATGCGGAACCGAATTGGCCAATACTGTACTCGAATTAATTGATCAACAAAGTATCTTCGAATGCCTAACAAGGTGCAAGTGCACGTTGGAGTGGGGAGTACGGTATTGTCTGGGGAGTGGGGTTTGAGAGGCCTCGGCTGGACATTCTTGTTGCGGTTTAGCAGAGATCTTTGGGGTTGGACCCCTGGAAGAAACAAGAATCAAGCATCCCGCGACCGTTGTGCTGCTCCGTTGGACCGTAGGGAGGTGAGACCGATCGATAGCAGGTTATGCAGAATTCCAGAAATGACAATGGAAATAACATAATGATTAACGGTGATAGAAGGGGAGGGGAAGAGGAAGACCAACCTGACAACTTGTTTTGAACCGCCTCGAGAACGAGAAAGAGCCACCCATTCAACCTAGTCAGTGGGAGTGTTTGCAAAGCTCGTGTATTGAGTCTGTCTGCGGGGTATATCGCCTGTCCTCCAAATCAATCTGAGGCAATCCTCTCCGGTGCGAGGCTTCAAGAACCCCTCCCAATCTCCAAAGCCTACCCCGCACTGCCAACGCCTTGTGTGCCGGAAACGGAGTTAAAAGCAGCATGATTACATGCGTCGGATCTCGGTTTCGTTCAAGTATTTCTCCAATCCCTCGTCTAGATGCTCCCACCACTCAAACAACAACGAATTGCAGATGAGTTTGAACCACGGCGTAAATTTCAGAGTAGGATCCTCGAACATTGACTTCAAATTCGCCGCAGAAACGTACTTGGTATCTCGGACTTCGTTCATATTGGGCTTCATGTCGACATCGGCTTTGATGAAGAGGATATAGTCAACTGGAATTCTGGAGTTAGTTTTTACCATCTACAGATCATCTTGGCGACTTACTCTCGTGCTCGCCCCATTTGCCATCACTCGGCGCCTTGTAATGAATCCTAGTCAAGAACTTGAATTTCTCGAAAGGAACCTGGGCCGCTGGGATACCAAGTTCGTGATCAAGTTTGCGAATCGCCGCGTTCTTCACACCTGAGACAGCCTCCTCCAGTTCGACACCACCTTCACCTGGGATCCCAAGAGGGTGAGAGCAGCATGTGTTCGTCCACATATCTGGAAAAGTAATCTTTTCGGTAGCGCGCTGTTGCAAAAGTAATTCATTGTTGGAGTTAAAGAGGAAGACCGAGAATGCGCGATGGAGAAGACCTTTATCAATGTTGGTCATGAGATGGCCTGGGAGTATTAGTGAACGAGTAACAAAAGCTCAAAAGTCCAAGATAAAGGACGTACAAATCTTCTTGCTCAAATTTCCAATAGGCTTGTCATTCTCGTCGAGGACAATGCACACCTCATCCATCAACCTGATCTGCTCAGCATCGTGACCATCGAGCTCCGCAGAACTCGTGTCGATGTCGGGGAACAGGCGCAAGATACTTTGCGCGGTGATGGGCTCGGGCTCGGGCTGGGAAATGGTGGTTGTAGTCGACATTGCGAGGGGAGAAGGGATGCAGAGGTCTTAAGTCTTCGTTGCGATGCGTTGCGTTGTGTTGGGTTTTTCCTTGCGGGCTGACTGCTCACAAGATCCTTCTTTCACACGTGGACTGAACTGGCCGACAAAGCAGCCGCGGGGTCGCTTATTGGAAGGGGGTGTGTTTCTAGTAGGAAGTGCCCCTCATTTATAGGCAGGTACTTGTGTTATACCTACCGGTATACTGGTACTTACTATCACCGGGATTCCCTAAGAAATAAAGATCCAAGATGACCTAGATATCAACCACTGTGAAGGTTGGTGTTCATAAATTTAGTTCTCGAATGAGATTCAATCTCCCTCCGACCATAGGTACTACTCTGTCCAGCGCAGAGTATCCACTCGGGCAGTTACTGTACGTAGGTAGTTGTACCCCTCCATCAAGCTACCGGTAGTTCAAATCTGCACGGCTGCTATCCGGAAGGGGAAAAAAAAAACCCCCCTCCCCGAAAAAGTTTTGGCAAGATCTAAGTGACAGCTTCGAGAGCAACCCACCACCGACTGCAACACATACACAGTATTTCTACAACACATCGCACTCCGCAACTATGGGCAAATCCAAGCCCAGAATTCGGAAGAAGAACCGCTCGGATCCAACCGCGAAGCCCATCGCAGATCCCGAGCTTGCTGCCATCCGTGACCAACGCATCCTTCCCGTCCTCAAGGACCTGCAAAGTCCCGACTTGAAGACCAGATCTTCTGCTGCCCGTGCGATTACGACCATCATCGAAGACCAGAAGTTCAGGAAGCTGTTACTAAGAGAACAGGTCGTGCGCATCCTTTTGGAGCAAACCCTGACGGACTCGAACCTGGAGACCAGAACAGATGGATGGGGCATTCTGCGGAACCTGAGTCTGGAGGAAGAGGCAGACTTTTGCATACATCTTTATAGACAGGATATCTTGACAGCAATCGAGGGTGTCGTCAAGACGGTAAGATACTAGGGCTCTCTTGTCAATGTCTCACATACTTACAGACATTCAGATTATCGACACAATCGAGAACAAGGAGGTCCCCTTCGATAAACTCCCAGCTGCCCAGCAGGAACTTCTCTGGAATCTCACGGCCTCAATCGTCAGCCTTGTGACTTCCCTCGCCGAGTCGCAGGACGAGATTGCCGAAGCAATTTCAAAGCTTTCTACAATCATAAATTCCTTATTCAGTGTCTTGGCTTTCAAGACCACCCCCACCAAAATTCAGAATGGGGTTCTCTCGTGCCTTGCTGCTTTGACGGAGGACAACAAGCTACTCGATAAACTAATTGTGGACAAAAGCTGGTTTGGGGAACTCGTTGGAATTGCGGAAGGTAGAGGCATTAATTCAATTGCGGCTTGCGCTGTGCTTCACAACATTTTCGTTACGATGGAGTGGTTCGACCACAACACACCAATCGAACGCGCCTCGGACGCTATGCTGATTCCTATCCTGGTTGAGTATATGGCACATGTCAAGCCACAGAAGCCCGAAACTAACGGGAATGTGGAGCCGTCGTCGCCCGATCAGGTCCTCGTATTGGCTTTAGAAGTCACCGCTTCTATCGCCACCAGCCTTCAGGAAGCTTTAGAACATGCAAGCCGGAACGAGAAAGAATTCAAAGGTTTCGACGACTCGGTGAATGGCGACATGGACGAGATGAATCTGGGGGACGATGATGCAGACGTCAAAGAGAAATATCCGGATGATGAGATGACCGTTGATGAGATTGAGGCCGAGATGGAGATGGTACTTGGAGATGGGTCCGATAACGATGACCTGCCCCTTGAAGAGGTCACGCTCAATCTTTTAGTCACCCAAGCTGCACCCAAGCTGGTTGCTGTAGCAGGCCTCTTTGATGGTCCAGTCCGGGAGCATGCCCTGTCGGCACTGAACAACGCAGCATGGACTATCTCAAGTATCGACTTCTCCCCGAGACATTTAAGTGGCCTTCAATCTTGTTGGGCTTCCTGCGCTCGACTCATTTGGAAAGATGTCATTTCTCCTGTACTGGCGTCCAACACCGCAGACATCGAGCTCGCTTCGACTATCACAAGCTTAGCATGGGCTGTCTCTCGTAGCGTCAAGGGCACTGTTCCTCTCCAGCCGGAAGAACATAGAAAGTTTATGGCACTGTATGAAGCATCAAAGAGCCTGAACGGAGTTTCGAATGGCGAACCGAAGTCAGAAGAAGAAACCGATGCATTTCAAGGCTTGGGTGTCAAATGCATCGGGGTTTTGGGAACTCTCGCTCTTCATCCTGCGCCTGTCGAGCGTAATCAAGAAGTTGGAGTATTTCTCCTCACAGTTCTCTCAGGTCTGCCTGATATACCTGCTGCCGATGCAGTAGAGGCTCTAAACCAGATTTTTGACATCTACTCCGACAAGGCCTACTCATTCGATGAGCCTGTCTACTGGGGCAACGATTTTTCGAAGCACCTCGAGGATGTCCAACCAAAGGCCAAGAAATTATTCAAATCTATTGACAAGCGAAAGTTTGGCGAGTTACGTTCAAGAGCTGATGAAGCTATTCTCAATCTCAACCGATTCCTTATCTACAAGAGAAAGGAGAGAGCGAATAAAAATCTCGATTGATCGTTGTGTGAAGGCTTTTGTGGATTTGGAAAGTGTTCGTTGGAGTATGGATGGGAAAAATGATACCAGATCTGGAGGGCCCATTAAACTAGAGCAGAGTGGTCGACGCGCATTTTCGACCTTGCATGATTGACGAAGCATTATGAAAACCAGGATTGCTGCACGAACCTAATTTAATTGAAAGCTGACCTCCGGCATCAACAAGGCGCATAGTTTAAGTTGAGGCTGTGCGTGATCCATGGGCTCTGAATTTTACAACCTGTGCCTGAACTTATGGCCATCAAGAGTTCCCCATGGTCGCCACTCGAATTCGGGGCATTGGAATATCTCTGAGCCCAGAGCTGCGCCTTCTTGATTTAATATATCTCTTCCAGTACCCGCCGTGCTTTTATTCAGCTTTATAGCAGCCAGTTCGTTACTTGCTCCTTCTTTTAAAAAGCCTTGAAGCTCTCCAAGAGTATTGTTAGGATGGAGTCATCTGAGCATCTCAAATCCCTTTCTGAGTTCTATATTTTAACTGCTTCGAGTTTAAATCTTCATCGGGCGGCTGTCAGGATTCATGACTGTGCCTACTATTCTGTTTCCATCTCGTGAGCCCTGCTTTATCAATGAGGTCGTCATTTACATGGCGGGGGGCAAGCCTCAGGGTATCAAATGCACATAATACATAGTACATAGTGGAATGGAGAACCTGGCATTTGGTGGTTGGAAAGCCAGTGAGTGGCGTTTGTTATTTCAATGCCACTCCGGCATTGTAGTGTCTGTAAGCAAACGTGGACTGCCTCCACTTTCCATCGATTTTGCTATTCCTGTTATTGCATTCGTTTGTGCGCGGGCAAATCTGTCTAATGATTCAGTGGAAGTATTCTTTCTTTCCTTCCTGGGCGCATTGCTCGTTCGACCGTAGAGTCTTGGTCCTTTTTTTCTTTTTCTCTTCGAGCATGTCTTCGCCAGTGTACCGATATCAGCTTTCATCGGTATTGCGCATCATGCAACCACGCAAACACCGGCCCATGGATGTTTGGAGTACAATGAGGTAACTTTTGATGCCACTGGATTCTATTCTTGACGCGGCCGGGAAGGGAAGCAACATTTCCGAGTTACATCGTCGCACGCCGGAACTGGATGGCGTACGGGCCGCTGTCCGTTGAGCCAGGTCCGAGTCCCACGATCTCGAAGATGCACAACTGCACACATTACTAGAGGTGCGGATCGGGATAGTACAGCTGGTGGACTGGGTGGGGGCAGGCTGTTTGGGCGTAGATTGGTGGGGCTGCAGTTTGGTTGGCGTCAAGGCTGTCGGTCGTGCAAAGGATGTCTACAATAGGGGAGCTCGCTTCGCTGGGATGATGACAAGGATAGAGGTACACAGTACTCCTTTTGGCAACATGGCTTTCTGAATTACTGCATCCTCTTTAGACGTAGCTGCTTCTGGCTCACACACACTTCAGAGTACGTAGACTTTTGTCCCAGCACAACATTCAGATATCAACATCTTCCATTAAAAGCATTAGACCAGATAAAGAAAGGGACGATACTCGAGGAGAGGGTATCGGCAAGAAAGGCAACCTCTCAAATCGACCCGGCTACCTCTTACCGCCCCTCTTCCCCTTCCCCACAGGTCGCGCATTCTTCGCCCTCTTCCGCTCCGCCACCTGTCTCTCCTTATGAATATCGCCCGAGCTCTTAATTTCGCTCTTTCCAACCCCATCCTTGAACACACCGATCCTCTTCTCCTTCGCCTCTGCCACCCTCTTCTTCCTTACATGGAAATCATCACGGTAGCGATCCGCCTCCTTCGGCGCTTTCTCCTGCTTGTGCTTGTACCTCGTCCCAAAGCCTCTGCCCACAGCACCCGCACCCTCCCGCTCCGCTTCTCCCGTACGTGGTAGGCGGTCTACTTTATGCGCTTTGCGCCATCTGTCAAAGCGTCCGCTCTGGAAACTGGCTGCGATTTTCTGCCCGCTCTCACCACGTATCATTTTCTTTCCCTTAGATCCGTCTTCGTCGTTAGCGCGGGCGACGTATTTACTGTTCTTTTTATCCCAACGCATGCCCTTTGCTCTAGACGGCTCGGCAAAACTCTTGGCACCGTCGTCGTTCGCGAGGTCCATCGTCAAACCTCGTGCTGCTTCGACAAAGTTGGAGTTCTGCGACGCGGTGTTGTAGGAGCCGGAGTGTACACCGTAGCCACGCTCTTCGGCTACGTTGAGATTCTTGGGCGTGTATGACATGAAATTCTCGGCGTCTTTGTAGGATAGCGTGCGGCCTTTACCTTTCTGAGAGGCTTTTGAGAAAGTCATTTCAAGGTCGGCTTCAGAGGCATCGGACATGTTATCCTTGCCGCCACCAGTTACTGTTACTTCCATATCATCGTCGTCGTTGTCTTCGTCTAATTGGACCGCGATATCAAAATTGGCCGAGCACTCCATATCGGTATCTCCTGCGGCCTCAGCCTTCGCAGCTGCTTTCTCGTCCTCTTCTTTTTGTCTCCTTGGGACAATCTTTTCTCTGCGATGTCGCATCATCTCGGCTGCCTCGCCATGTCCTGCTTTCCCTCTGGTTCCGATCTCGAAGACTGTTTCCGCAGGTCGGAAACCACTGATACGTGCAAGCATATCGATTCGGGCTTGCTCGGTAGACGTTGTCTCGTTATTGAACAGGGGGTGCAATTGCATCCATCCCTTCGATGCCACTACTTCCTTTGCTCTGTTCGCACTTTCGCTCGATGCCGAATTCCTCGTCCTGATGTACTGCTTCTCTCCCTTCACAGCCACACCCCGCAGAGCACTGAGATCATCGTCGTCTCCAAGCAGTTTGGTGATCCATTCCGAGGTGGCTTCAAGCTTATCTCGGAAAAGGGCTCCAACAATCACGTCTTCCGCGTAATTTGGCGTGTCTCCACTGTCTCGACCTAACAGCAGCCGCTTTCCGAGGAACAATTGTAAATCGAGTAGGTACGGCGCATCCGTATCTCTGACAAGACTATAAGACCAACCTCGCTTACCTGCTCTTGCTGTACGACCAACACGATGAACAAATATCTTTGGCTGAGGCGGGAAGTCATAATTGATGACATTGGCCAAAACCGGGATATCTATACCTCTGGCAGCGACATCCGTCACAACCAAGATATTACTCCTTCCTGTCCTGAAATCTTCAACTTGCTGGTTTCGTGCCGTCTGGTCCAGAGATCCATATGCGTGAGAAACGGCAAATCCAGAGAGACGTAGAAGTGAAGTGATATAGTCGACATGATGCTTGGTAGCGGCAAAAATAATCGTTGAGTGCTCTGTAGGCTTTTGTCTTGGGTTGGGTCCGTCGCGCTTCCGCTTCTTATTGTTCAGATCTTCAGCTGCCTTTATGGCGGCATCGGGTAGTCCAGTAGGCATCTTTATCAAATCATTTAAGATATGAAGCAATGCACCTTCCTTCTCCGCACTCTTGATACTGAAAAATGCGCTCTGAAGATCCGGGGAGACCTTGCTTTCGGCGTCAAGACGAACGAGTGTGGGTTCCTGCAGACCAGCCCTTGCAAATTCCACTAATGACTTCGGTAGTGTGGCGGAGAACAGAAGTGTCTGTCTAGATGTCGGTAAGGCGTGGAGGATTTCGGTGAGCTGGGCAGCGAAACCCATTTCGAAGAGTCGGTCGGCTTCATCAAATACCACATATTTGACAGATGATAAATCCAAGGACATCTCAACCTGCAAATGCAGAAATCGACCTGGTGTGGCAATGACGATATCTGGGTTCCCAGCCATAAATCCGAACTGCTCCTCCAAACTGTCTCCACCGACCAACAAGACGCATTTAAGATCAGTGCCTCTGCTGAATTCCTTGACAACCTTCAGTGTCTGTAGCGCCAATTCTCGAGATGGCGACATGATGATAGCCCTAGCTCCTACTTTGACACTATGCGACTTCAATCTTTCAATCATTGGGATCACGAAAGCGGCGGTCTTTCCGGAACCAGTTCTAGCCATACCCACAACATCTTTGTGGTCGAGGACGAGGGGAATGGTTTTTCGTTGAATTGGTGTAGGTACAGAGAATCCCTTTCTGCTGATAGCTTTGAGCAGATGGGAATTCAATCCTGTCAAATGTCAGGTACTGTCTTTAACTGGTCCCATTTTCATTATTTTTACCCATTGCTTGGAAGCCACCACCCTTCTTTACGCTGTTGCCCTTGACATTTGAAGATTTTCTATTCGAAGCAGCTTGCTTTGCGGCAATAAAAGCCTCGTCTCCTTCTCCATCGCTTTCCAGGTCCAGGTCCAAGATTCCGCCCGCGTCGAGTGTACCCAAATCCTTGCTGCTCGGGAGCACAAAGTCCTCCTCGTCGCTGCCAATATCATCTTGAAATAACGATTTCGTAATATCGAATTCGTTTTCTGACGCGGCAGGGGAAGGGGCGCGGTGAGGCATCGCGTTGGCAGCCGATTTCGTCGGGTCGAGGTGGGATGAATGTATCTATCTGCGCACCTTATCGACCATTTCACTTTTTTCTCCATGCCTCCGCGCTAATAAGTTTAGCGCATAACCTTATTATCTGCCAGCCTTCACCGACGCATGGTGATTTTCCCAAATACCCACGTCTCACTCACAATGCGCATCCACCTCGACAACGCATATTCCTCCGATGAATTGATTCGCAAATAATACAAGAAAACCAAGTGGAATTACGCACGCGATATCTTTCAAATGCCAAATTAGGCCAGCATCAGGGGATCGGAAACCCGCAAGCCACAGGAAGATCGTCTTTGGACTAACATAGAAGGGGGCTTCATCAGAAAATAAAGAGCTTGAATGCACCCCAGAGTCTATATCCAAAGAGCTAGAAGCCTCAGGTGTTCCTCTACATCTTATTTTGAGTCCACTTGTGTGTCAGATCGCCGCGATTACAGCAGATGGACTTCGTCCCTATGTCTATAGCACTCGGATTGGCAACCGGACCACCTCTTTTTTTGAAAATCTATCCTTCTAATATCTTTATCATATGTATTGTTGCAATTTCTGTCTTTTTAAATGTCCTCCTCACATTATTTGTTTTGTCGTATTATGTCGAGGGCTTACAATTGAAAAAAGGACATCTTTCTCTAATCTGTTGTTGTGCCAGTGCTCCCCTTGCTTTCACAGCCAGGGCAGGGGTCAATGATGAGGATGTGTAAAAACGTAAATCAATATTCTCATGTGTTTGTGGAGCAGCTTGCAGTGGCGAATCTAGTTTTCGGCTATTTTGTCGACAGATCAACGTCCCGTCAACTACCACTGCTCCTTGGCCTGCTGGAGGAGCTACGGCCATGCTTTGCGGAGGAATCTCGCTTCCGATCCTTATTGCAATAAGTATACGTCAGGGACTGTCTGCAGTTGTTGCTTAGACTGTTGGCTTGGCTGTCTTATTTGATACAGCATTGGAAGACGAGATAGGCCAGGCAATGTAGTACAAGGCTGCTGCAACCTGTATCGGATCATTGGCTGGACTGCTCCTCGGAGGTGCAGTTTATGCTCATTCTGGATGCTACTCTGTGTTTGCAATTGGTTCCGCAAGAGTCGGATTGGATACCTCGTTCCGATTGTTGATGATTAAGAGAAGTGTTTTTCGGCAATGGGCCGTGGAAGATTCACTGAACGAAGAATCAACCCCCCAGCCTCTGGACGAAGTACGGCCTGCACCAGTATTGGACGAGTCTACCACATTAGAGAAGACAAAAGCCACGGAAACTATAAATGTGCCTCCTCTGACTAGCTGGATCAGAAGACTTCCGCCTGTCATACTGCTTGGGATTCCTCGGCTTGATGTAGCACTTTTCGGCTGCCTTGTTGACTCCACATTTTTAGCATCATTCGATCCAGTACTCCCAATTCATATCAAAGATACATTCAGATGGAACTCGGCTAGGGTTGGTTTGATCTTCTTCTGCCTGGTCATCCATCGTCTGTATTCCCCGCTGGTTGGAACAATCTCAGATGGGTATAGCTCGCGAGATCTCACGACTATGAGCCTCCTGGTTTGCATTCTCTTTTGGGTTTCCTCACGTCTCGTTACTTACAACTCCATCGGCCAGAACCTCCTTCTGTGCGCTCTCCTTGTTCGCTGGGATTGCCGAATGGCGTTTTTGCGACTACGACTTTTGTTTGAACCGGCGAGAGGATTATGCTGAAGGGTGAGGAGAAACGTGATGGCACAATAAATGATAATTTAAATGATGATAAACTGCTCCATTCAACTCCACGTAATGATACAGGAAGGCCAGCGAGCACTACTTACTTCACCACGTTGCCAATCCAAGCTTCTTGATTATTCAGAAACAAAATTTTATAGTTTTCGAAAATAAAGCCTCGGTTAGTTGATTTCCCCACTTTTGACCTCAACCTCCAAGGTCAAAGCCTAGTCAAATTTTGCATCAAAGTAGCAGGCGTGAACATGATTTTTTTCCTGTTTAGGTTGGTTGGAGCGGTTTCGTCGCTCTATCCATATCCCTCACAATACCCCAGCTTGAGTATACCAGAAGATGGTGAGTATTTTTCACGTTCTTTCGCCATCTTCATCACATTTTATTCATTGATATGCGATTAGCATCATCCATATATTTCTTAACCAATATTCTTTTCTGACTGATAGTAGCGGCGATGATCCCGATTGCCCCTCATGGTGCAAATTATATTATGTCCAATGACGATGGCTGGGCTGAGATAAACATTCGAACGCTATACCAGCAGCTGAGGTCTTATAATGAACGGATGAGTCTGATGAGCCAAGGCTCAGATAACTCGATGGTTGTGCTCTCCGCTCCCGCACTGAACAGATCAGGTACAGGTGCGTCTACTGGTCTCATCATAAGAGTTCAGCAACTAACATATATTCAGGCTCCCTGAACGGTACCGCAAAACCGGTTGAGCACGGATGTGAATTCAAAAGTTGCTCCCCTGGGAGCCCAGCTATAGGATTCAACTCATCGGATCCACATCTGAACTACGTTAATTCTTTCCCCGTGACAGCAGGTATGTGCTAATCTCTAATTTGCGCCAAACGGCGAGATTCCTTCGGTAAGGGAGGGGTCTCTCCTGTATAAACCGTGCTAACAACACCAAAGTGTCATACGGAATATTGACGCTGGCTCCCAAGTTCTTTGGCGGGCCACCGGACTTGGCTATCCTAGGTCCCAACGTTGGATGTTCGTATTCCCCTGGCCACTTAAATCATATTTACGTGCTTACTGTAGTCACAGCAAACCTTGACGTTCAAATTCCCTTCTCTGGCACGGTCGGTTCTGCGGTTGCTGCCACCAATCTCGGAGTTCCAGCAATTGCTTTCCATGGTCGTACCGGCTCTCACACAGCATGGAACTTCCGGCCTGTACCCAGGTACCCCAGATTATATGCAAAATACGCAGTCAATATTATCGCTACCTTGACACAATCAAAGAAGCCATACCTTCCGACGGGCGTCTGGCTCAACGTCAACTTTCCATCCGTCGAGCCTGGAAAGTGTAACGAGAACAATGCCAAGTACGTCTTAAGTAGAATTTATCCTGCTATCCCGGTTTTGGATCCTCCGGATGTGACTACTTGCGGCAGTAATCGTTTGCCACTGGAAAGGACGGTTGTGGATACCGATGGCTGCTATGTATCCATCAGTGTTGGCAATAAGAACAAGCTGGATGCCAATAGGGACGCTCAGGAGGCGGTGTTGAATAGGCTGTCAAAGATTTTGAGCTGTCTGCCTTGAGATTCAGTGATGGGACGATGTTCGTGCAGTGGGGTTCTGTTCTTTTCGCGCGATAGATATCCTTGGATGACAGTTGCCGTTAATGTCCATTCTTGCGTTGTTATAATGTTCTGTAAACTCGCTCTGCCAATAAGGAGGAGCCGCCATAGCTCCCTGACTTAAGATCACAAATCTTCGCAACCAATATTAGGGAAGAAGAGCTCCGAGCAAGTGTCGCTCGCAATTATAAGACTTGCGAAAATGATCATGATGATCGAAGGCCAGATCAGGCCGAACATGACGCCTACACCAACGCGTCAAAGCGTATATCCATGAACATATTTCCAAGTCTCTCTTTTTTTTTCTCTTTTTTTTTTTCTTTGCAAAGATATGCGAGAGGTAAGTAGGATTGGCTATGGTGCCTTTGTAGGTAGATCCAGTCTTCTCGCTGTCGCAAAAGTTGGGAAGGAAGTGATGAGTTGGGGCCGGGGGCAATTAGAAGCGGCCGCTAGTACATGACTAAGTAAGTGCTTGTACCGCTTCCTTGCTCAAAATTTATTTTCGATCCTCACGAATTTTAGAACCCAACACAACCAAACCATGGCTTCGCAGGCAGACAGGCGCAATCCCAAACCTCCGAAAAAGGCCAAGCATGTTTCCAGGACCCTCAAGAGAAAACGAGATGTCGACGAGCACCAGACGTTGGGGAAAGCAATTGAAGAACTGGTAGGCTCCCCCATACCGTCTCTGGGCGCAAATATTGACGACCCCAGGATCCCAAAGCTGAAGTAAAGGAATTTTCCAACTTGCCTCTATCCAAACCCACGTCCTCTGGTCTCGAAGTTTCTCATTTCAAAACTCTCACCGACATCCAATCGAAAGCCGTGCCACTTGCGCTGAAAGGCAAAGATATCCTTGGCGCGGCGAAAACAGGCAGTGGAAAGACGTTGGCATTTCTGATACCGGTTCTGGAGAACTTGTATAGGCAAAAATGGACGGAGATGGATGGGTTAGGTGCCTTGATCATTTCGCCAACTCGAGAACTTGCGACACAGATCTTCCAAGTGCTGCGAAAGATCGGTCGCAATCATTCTTTCTCCGCCGGGTTGATCATTGGAGGACGAAGTCTGCAGGAGGAGCGGGAGCGCTTGGGACGGATGAACATACTCGTGTGTACCCCCGGAAGAATATTGCAACACATGGACCAAACGGCGGATTTTGATGTGAGCCATCTGCAAATGCTAGTCCTGGACGAAGCCGACCGGATAATGGATATGGGCTTCCAGAGAGACGTGGATGCTATTGTCGAACATTTACCGAAAGAGAGGCAGACTATGCTTTTCAGTGCGACTCAGACGAAGAAGGTCTCTGATCTAGCAAGATTAAGCTTGAGGGACCCGGAATATGTGGCAGTTCATGAAGCAGCCACAAGTGCGACTCCGACGACATTACAGCAATACGTTGTCGTTACACCTTTGGCTGAGAAGCTCAATACGTTGTTCAGTTTCATTAGAAATAATCTCAAGGCCAAGATCATCGTGTTCATGTCGTCTGGGAAGCAGGTTCGATTTATCTATGAAAGCTTCCGACACATGCAACCTGGTATCCCGCTTCTACATCTTCACGGCCGCCAAAAGCAATCAGCTAGACTCGATATCACATCAAAATTCTCGTCATCCAAGAACTCGTGCATCTTCGCAACGGATGTAGTTGCCAGAGGTCTTGATTTCCCTGCTGTCGATTGGGTAATTCAATTGGATTGTCCCGAAGATGCTGATACTTACATTCATCGGGTGGGCAGAACGGCTCGTTATGAGAGAGCTGGTAAGGCGGTGTTGTTCCTCGACCCGAGTGAAGAAGAAGGAATGCTCAAGCGACTCGAACACAAAAAAGTACCGATTCAAAAAACCAAACCTCGGCAAAAGCTGCAACAGAGCATCAAGAATCAGCTACAAGACATGTGCTTCAAATATCCGGAAATCAAGTACCTCGGACAAAAAGCGTTCACGAGTTATGCGAAGTCAATATATCTGCAAAAGGACAAGGAGACCTTCAAGATAAATGAGTACGACCTGGAAGGCTTTGCGGACAGCATGGGTCTTCCTGGGGCTCCAAAGATCAAATTTCAGAAAGGCAACGATACGAAGGATCTCAAGAACGCGCCCAGAAGAGCACTTTCGAGCGATGATGATAGCGAAGAGGAGGGAGCAAAGGCTCCCAAAAAGGGAGAGGTGCGGACCAAGTATGACCGAATGTTTGAGCGTCGCAACCAAGATGTTCTTTCTGGCCATTACTCGAAGATGATCGCGGATGACGGTCTAAACGACGAAGATGGGCTTCAAGATGCAGATGAGGATCACGATTTCTTGTCCGTCAAGAGAGTGGTTCCGGTCGATGATGAGAGCTCGCATGGAGGGGATGTCGCAGTCTCAGGGCCCGCGGCAAGAGTTATTGAAGGCATTGGCAAGCAGCCGATTGTGATCGATTCCAAACGAAGAGAGAAGATGTTGAAGTCCAAGAAGCAACTACTGAAGCTCAAGGAGAAGGGTACGAGGATGGTGTTTGACGACGATGGTAATGCCCATCAGCTGTACGAACTTCAAGACGAGGACGACTTCCGAAAACGTGGAACAGCTCAGGAGCAGAGAATGAAATTTTTGGAGGAAGAATCTGCAAGAGTCCGTGAGGCTGATCTTGACGACAAGCAGCTCGCGAAGCAAAAGAAGAGAGAGAAGCGGGAGAAGAGAAAGGCAAGGGAGGCTGCGGAGCAAGCCGGATCAGACGATGAGGCTCCTGAGCTCGTCAACGAAGACGATGACCACGATCCGATGGCCCTCTTGGCTTCATTGCCAATTGCTGGCGAGGACAACGAACGTCCTGCGAAGAGGCCCAAGAAGTGGTTCGAGGACGACTCTGGGGACGAGAAGAAGGTTGCTAAGCGACAGGGTCGCGTTATTGAAGCCGATGATGAGCCAGAAACACTGGAAGATTTGGAGGCTCTTGCAGCGGGTCTTCTCAAGTGACCTTTGCAAACAAGACGCAGAAGCCGTAGAAATTATAACTTTTTGATACCCCTCTATCTGAGACCCTTATCTTAGGAACCCTTGCCAATAACTTGGCCCCCCGAACCCGAACCTCTCGAGCCCCCTCTATGAACCCCACCTGCTGCATTTTGCCGCGCTAGAATTGGCCACCAAGTCCGAGACCGAGACCGAGCCGGCTTCAACCTTATGCTGACAAGCCCCTCCACCTCACAACGCCAAAATGAGTCCCTTCTCTTACTTTGCACGCAGCAAGACACATGGATTGCAGTGATCGAGATGCCACTGCGTGCACCAGAGGATTCCGGTGACATTACGCCCACCGTCAACGGGCACAATGAGAGCATCCTACCGATCTGCGCCAGGCTTGCAGCCCGTGTGAATGCCTTCCTGGAGACCGAGGCGCCAACTCCTCTGTTAAAAGCGGTACAGGAGCAAACCAGAGTCGCTCTAGGAGTTATAAGTACGGCCTTGGAACGATACAGGTAACTTATGCCTTGGCCGAAGCCCTCTGCAACTCCAGCAGCTGTGTCCAGATCTAGACATCTCGTGCTGACTCGCGCCAATGGTACCAGTTTAGAAGAAATCTCCCTCTCTTACAATGGGGGCAAAGACTGCCTTGTCCTGCTGATCCTCCTCCTCTGCGCCCTTGCAACTTACAAAAAGAGCCCCCTCCCGAAAGCGCTCGCGACCGTGTACATTATCTCTCCACATCCCTTCGTGGAAGTCGACACCTTCGTAGACGAGTCTGTCGCCGAATATAACCTGGGTCTGGCCCGGTATGCTATGCCGATGAAGCAGGCCTTTGAAAAATACTTAGAGGAGAATAAGAGGGTGAAGGCTATACTGGTGGGAACTAGACGGACAGATCCACATGGACAGTGCTTGACGCATTTCGATGAGACAGATTCTGGATGGCCGAGCTTTATGAGGGTTCATCCTGTGATAGATTGGCATTACACGGAGATCTGGGCTGTAAGTGTTATCGGAAGTCTTGGGATTTTGGGACAGCCTAACTTTTAACAGTTCATTCGACATATGCAGATTCCTTACTGTCCATTATATGACCAAGGATACACCTCTTTAGGAGGAACCACTGATACCCACCCCAACCCAGCATTGAAGGCAGAAGAAGGCCAACCAAGCGAGGGCAAAGTAGCCGTGTTCAAACCCGCATACGAGTTGATGGAGGATAATGCTGAACGGTTAGGGAGGGATTGGAAGTGACGGCACATCCGCATCACAGAGTTTATCTGTCGTCTACTTGTTGGCTAGGTGTTTTACATATTTCTCCCCACGGCCGAGTTTGCTGATGTCAAATGGAATGAATGGCGTTTGATACCAGTATATTGGCCCCTATTTCACTGCTCGTCGGAACATTTGAATCAAGACTTGGCCTCGAGCCCTCAAAGCCCTCGGAGCCCTCGGATTTCCGGCAATCGTGTGCTGAAGTATCAGCAGACCATGACCGGCGACTTGATGTCTACGTCTTTGCCAGGCTCATGGCTCGTTTCAACATCCTAGTTGTCCAAATGAGACAAATTCTCTGATCTGTGGCACTTTTGCTATTGTCCCAGACCATGTTGTTGTTCAACGGTAGGGGAAGTCCGAACGGACACTGTCACCTAGGTTGTGCTGTGGCAGAGTATCGAGGTGTCTGTATTGCCGAGTCCCATCTTACTCGAGAATCCATAAGGATCAACAGATCATTCTCCTAGAGAAGTATACCCTCCTTCATCGAGCCTTCCATGGTGTTGCCAATCACTCATATCATTAGAGATGTATTTAAGATATTTGTCCACGAAGTCGTTGGCGCGTCATATTATATGCTACTTTTTTCCTCTTTTCAGCCCACCAAGAACCTTTCCTTCGTCTGAGAGTGTCGAGGATCACACTCCTTGATCCATCCCGAGTCGGTGAAAGCAGGTCAAGAATTTAGGGGAGGGGGGGGGGTATAGGTACTGGCTCGTAACTAACTATATCTATCAGATACGGGCTCCTCGCTACCAGGTCAATTCTGCCTGCTTGCCTGCTTGCCGCCACGGAGATACGAAGATAACCCAAAACATGTATTCCCCCCAGGCGAGGTTACGGTAGCTAGGCAGGTAGGAGATGCGCCTAGGACGGAAATGTCTTCCTTTTAGGTGCGCCTCGTGAGTGAGTCCCGCGCGAGGATCAGGAACGGTCGGGTCGGGATTACAGTTCCTTCCATCCTTCCACATCCCCCCTCAAAGAGCTCAAGAAGCGTATTGCGTGCACATCAAAGGGGGGAGTAACGAGCGTCGGAATTTCAAACAAAGATCCATCTCACCATCGAACTCGAAGAATGGGAGAGAAAGGAAAGAGACAAAGAAAATGTAGAAGAGAAGAAGAAAGAAAGAAGGGAAGAAAGAGAGAGAAAGAAAATACCACCTCGGTCTCTTACGGGGGAGGCCCCTCGATCCCTCACGCTTAATCACTGCTACATCCTTTGCTCTTTGGATTTGCCCCATGCCATGTCTCGTATACCGGCCAGAATCGTGGGAGGGAGGCTGGTGGGAGGGGGGGGGACCGGGGGATTTTGAATATCTTTCCATTCATCAAGTCGACCACCTGTCGTTTTGGTTAAAAGAGTAGGCTTTAGAGTGACCTTATAGGTTTACCTGTGTGTGTATGTACCTATACTTAAGATTTCGCGGCATGGGCATGGCAGCCTGGGCGAGAGAGGGAAGGACGAGGAATGTGCTTGCTCATAAGAAGGGACAGATTGAAGATCACGAGTAGCAACTGGAGAGTCATGGTATATTTCAAAAGCAAGCACTGCATTCATCTCAACTCTAAGATTGCCATCCTGTCTGTATACACGCAACGGGGGTATTCCCTTCCCAAGTTCCCACCCCAACGCCATTTTCACAATGATCGACAGGCTGAACCTCAGATCCACAAACACCACTTCGCAGTACTGAAAATAAGGAAAAAAAGAGAAAAAAAAACATTTCCGTATCCATCCACGCATACTTCTATCCCTGACTATGCTGATCCTGATTTGATGCTTCTATCAATAGAGGCCAGGAGTAGCGAGAGCGTCACCATGGACACCGCAGAGGCAAGTAATGCTTCTTTCAGGAGAGTCCAGGAGTAGCCACAATGGGACCATGGACGCGGACGCGGTAGAGGCAAGTGTAGTCAACAGTCTCTGCACCCCAGTTGTTCTTGCTACGGACGATGATCCTGTTGGTGTGCGCTCCCAGAGATTTCATGTCCAGCTGCACAGCGAAAGCTTGAATGTTCTGCCGAGTCTCGATATCGTAAGTCCAGGTGCCGATAAGGACGAAGCCAAGGCGTTGGATAACGTCAGCTTGGTCTGGGAAGATGGCGTCGGACATCTTCTTGACAGCTTTGTAGAGATCAGGATCGGAAATCCAGGCGAGAAGTTCCATATCTTTGGGTGCAGCACCGGGTTCCAGAGAGGCGGTCGGAGAGATGTGCTCGACGACGACTTGTTCGGCGTAGATGCTGCTGCCCATGATGACTCCGAGACTGGTACCAAAGCCGTCAAGACCCTTTGCGGGGGAACACCAGCAGTCGCCGTGCTCTTCCCACTTGATGAGGGCGGTATCAGGACTGTTGGGGGCGGGGATGGGGTTACCAATGAAACGTTTCGCGATTTTCATTGGGAGCCATACGTTATGGCTGGGGAACATGTAATTGGGTGATGTAACAGTAATATCGACGATGGCACCTGTTCCTTTTGAGAAGTGGTTGATGCGAGTGAGGCCGTAGTTGACATTGCTCTTCAGGTTAGCAGACGCTAGAGCATCGATTTGGCCACTGGAGATGAAGTTCTTGAGGACTTCGTTAGCGATGACCGCTGACTTATCCTTGAACTCATGTTGAAGTTTGCTGATCTGGCGAGTTGCCTGGTGTAGCTTCTTCGTGAGATCACTCATCTCGGATCTAATTTCAGATTTGTTGTCTTCCCAATTGAGGCGAACAAGATCCAAGACTTCAGACTTGGAGATGACTTGATTTTGCTTCAGGAGCTCAGGGAACTGACGAACAAGTTCGCTGTCACGGAGTTTGATGATCTCAGCTTCATTTTGCTGGCTCCACTTCTCCCACAGCTTCTTGGCCTGGAATTCGGGCATCTCGCTGTGGCCGCCGGATTGTTTACCAACCGACTCGGCTTGGTCACGGAGTAAGGAGTCTTTGGAGCGGACCTTGTCCTGTAGAGCTTGCCAGAAGTTGTCAGGGAGGATTGCTTTGCCGAACCTATCCTTCTTGACGACAAGGTTGTCGGGAAGCATATCTTGGATGGCCTCCAGAGCCTTGGGATCAAGATCGGATGGGCGGGTCGAGAGTCGGCCAACCTTCCACTCGAGATCGCTCAATCTCCGGTTGATAGCTTGTACGTCCGTGGGCTTGTACCACTCACGTGGATTGCCGACCTTGTATCCCAGATTGGAAAGTGACTCTGGCATGCTAACGCCTAGGCCAGACAGAGCACCCCTGGAGGTCAGGGATAAGCACAGGACCGCTACGAGAGCAGGAATGAGGTAATAAAGAAGGTTCCTTCGCATTTGTAAGTGAGGGTCTGTATTCGGAGAGAGAAGACTTACTTGAAAACATGTTCCAAGAGAGGGCCAAGGAAACGGGTACCCTTGACGTTGTCAATCCAGTTCAGGTACGATTGTCCGTTCCTGGCGCGAGCCGCGTGGAGACGACCATTTGCAAGGTTAGCTCTGGCGATCTCCATGACGCGCTCCTGCTCAGCAGCAGCATTGATATCATCCATGGAGTTAGGTGGGAGGTCTTCATGCTCATCATCCTCATCATCCTCATCATCCTCTGGCTCATCGAGCTCCTCAATCGGGTTGAGTTCATTCTCAAGCTCAGAGGGCTCAGAGGACTCCACCCCTGCAAAGTTGAAGATGCCCTCCTCGTGAACATAGCTCTTGTCTCTGGCAGCTTCCTCCTCCGCGGCGGCGGCGGCAGCGGCGGCGGCGGCCTCGACTTCCTTGGAGGTCCTCTTGGTCGACTTGGCACGAGAGACTCGGCTACTCGCCCCTGAAGAGTTGTTAGTACAGTAGACGCGACAGGGTTTTGATGGACTTACTGCTGTTGGCCTTGGCGGGCTCAACTTGCTCACCAATGATTTGTTCAATAGTGCGGTTCGTTATGGGTCCGTCTCGTGCCGGGGGTGGGACGGTGTTGCTGCCATACGCAGTGCTCTGGCGGGCTCCAATGGCTGGGAGGGAATTTGGTGAGCCAGCGAGTAGCGATCGCGCTGCTCTTCTGGCGGAAGTTCTTGGAGTTGGGGGAATGTTGGCAGTGGAGACGGATGGAGAAGGGGCACCAGTGCTGCTGACAGCTCTGCTAGCGCCACGGGTGGATCGTCGAGTCGACATGATTTTCCTTAGTGGAAGTCGAAGTGGTGTAGAGTAAGATTGGGAGAAAGTATCGAGATGGTTTCCTTTTGCTGGAAGCCGAGATGTGGGAGGCGGGCAGTAGTGCGGGTGTTGATGATCGGATGGTATGTCGAAACCAGAGAGCTCGGAGAAAGCGCTGGAGTGAGACTCTGGACTTGCGGGACGAAAGTTGTGTTCTTGGAGTTCTAGTAGGTGTTAGCTGCATCCAGTAATGTGATGGATGGGGAAGCTGACTCTTGAATGAGGTCTTCGTTGCTGTTGTGTCGAGTATTTGCGTCAGCGGTTGAAGGTTGCAAGAAATTTGGGGGAAAGAAAAGAGACGAGTTGAAGAAGAAGAGCGTTTCTGAAATAATTCGCAGGGTGCGCTACTGGGATCAGCGAGAGCTGACTTACTATTGTGCTGGAGCTGGTATTGTGGTAGTGAAGCTATTCGCAATCATTCACCGAGGACAATAGCAAGCAAGCGCTCTCTAGGCTGCCCCCAACACAAGCACAATATCAAGCACAATTGCAAGACTACGCGTCTGTATGTGTAGCCCACTCAATTATGACTTCGGAACGATTATCGAGAGTTTGTGCGCAATGGGGGTTGGGTGGGAGCTGGGTCTGGCGCAAAGTTGGATGGGATGATATGTATATCCTCGACTCGACTCGACCGACTCGACGCGGATGCGCGACAAACAAAGACTCGGGATGGGACAATAGGAGGCCATTTAATGCTTGCGGTGAGTGGCTGCTCCCGGAGTAGCAACCTGAGCTGGGTAAGTTCTGAATTCCTCAAAGAACACAATAGGGCATGGTCGGGCATTGGTTCCTGTTTACATTCCAGGCCGGGAGCAGGACGTTGGAAAGCTCTGGCCTTTGTCGCGAACGAGCGAACGCGACGGAAGGTGGAGTGTGAGGTGCACGGTGCGGTGGCTGGCTGGACGGATGACATAATCGTGGCGAGGGGGTGTGGCTCTAGGCGTGGCTGGAGGTGTGGCTGAGTCAGCAGACATGAGGCGCAAATAGGGTATTGGAATCGGAATCGATTCCGCTGCTATACTTACCGGTACTTTACTTACCTACTTTACCTACTTTACCGGTATTACTGACTTGGCCTGTCTCTCGGTCTTTCTTAATTCCGACCCGCTATCTCCCCTCCTAAAGTAAAACCACAACGCCAACCTTCTCTTCCCGCCCGCCTCCCAGCCCACCCACATCCCGAGAACATGGTCGTCGGAACCGTATTGATCACCGGGTGAGTTGGGAATGTTCGTTGTTTTTTCTATCATTGTGTTGTCTCCTTGGAACTGCGGCCCAGGGTTGCAACGCAGTCCCTCGTAGGTAGCAAGAGAGTTTGCGAGGTGCCTTGCTACCCCGCGATACTTAAATAAAAGCTGCCGGTGCAGATAGATGCAAGCTGATGCTTGAAATCCACAGAGGTACCGGATACATTGGCTCCTTCACCACGCTCGCGCTTCTCCAACACGGGTACCATGTCGTGGTTGTCGACAGCCTATACAACTCTTCCAAGGTGTCTCTGGACCGCATCGAGCTCCTCTGCGGAAAACGACCCGATTTCTACCAGGTCGATGTCACCGATGAGGAGGCCTTGGACAAGGTGTTTGCAGCTCACCCCCACATCGACAGTGTGATCCATTTCGCCGCTCTCAAGGTTTGCTCAAAGCTTCGTCCAACTCTGCAGGCGCATGCATAGCTGACCGATCCAGGCTGTTGGCGAATCCAGTGAGATCCCAGTCGAATATTACCGCGTGAACGTTGGCGGAACCATCGCTCTTCTCCGCTGCATGATCAAGCACGATGTTCCCAACTTCGTCTTCTCCTCCTCTGCCACAGTTTACGGCGATGCGACTCGAGTGCCGAACATGATTCCCATCCCTGAACACTGCCCGATCGGCGCGACGAACCCATATGGAAGAACGAAGAGTATGATCGAGGATATCGTTACAGACCACATCAACTCTCAGCGCGCGAAGGCAAAAAAGGAGGGAAAGTCGTTTGAGAGGTGGAATGGAGCTTTGTTGAGATACTTCAACCCTTGTGGCTCTCATCCCAGTGGAATCATGGGTGAAGATCCACAAGGTATACCATTCAACTTGTTGCCATTGTTGGGCCAGGTTGCCACTGGGCAAAGAGAGAAGCTGATGGTGTTTGGTGATGGTAAGCGCTTTCCCTTCCCTCAGGGTTTCTGGCTTCAGACTGGAGTTGTTTGTCAAGAATGGAGCATTCTCTCAGCTAGAGAGGGAGGTTCCGCTTTCAAGCGCGAGGTGTTGCCTATGGAATAAAGTAGCAGTTGACTGAAAACCCAGACTACCCCTCAAGAGACGGCACCGCAATCCGCGACTACATTCACGTCGTCGACCTCGCAAAGGGCCACCTGGCAGCGCTTAACCACCTTCGGGAGACCAACCCCGGCGTCCGCGCCTGGAACCTGGGCTCTGGCCGCGGCTGCACCGTCTTCGAGATGATCAACGCCTTTCAGAAAGTCGTCGGTCACCCCTTGAAATACGACGTCGTAGCAAGACGCGCAGGTGACGTGCTGGACCTGACGGCCAATCCGGCGCGTGCGAACAAGGAGTTGGCGTGGAAGACGGAGCTAACGCTCGAGGATGCATGCGAGGATCTGTGGAGGTGGGTGAGCAATAATCCGAAGGGGTATCGTCAGGATCCACCCGAGGCGTTGCTGGCTGCTCTCAAGGAGAAGTAAGTTAAGCTTGATGGGCGGGTGTCATATTTGCGTACTTTGCATCATAGACAAAAAGAGAAAATGGCGGCTCGAGAAAGATACCTTGCGAATGAGATAATCTCACAATTTTCACTTCATTTCATCATGTTCAGTAGCGACATTCACGTGTCATTCAGCTTTCCTACGCTTCACCAAAATCTACGGCCTCAACAACAACTTTCCCGTCGTCTTCCTCCCTTCCAGATCCGTATGCGCTCGCGCTACCTCCTCCAGCGGATACGTCTCGTGCACCCGGACATTCATTCCATACTTGGCAATGAAGTCAAACAGCTCCGCAGTGTACTTCTCGTACTCCTCGCGCGTGTGGATGTAGTTGAACACCGTTGGCCTCAATACGGCGACGTTCTTGCCGGACAGCTTGCTGATGGCGAATGGGGGCACGGCGCCGGACTACGTCTCACGTCAGCGTGGGGTGTGTTTTGTGTCGGTTTGTTTACTTCGCTGTAAGCGAGAAATGGAGAGCAGAGGAGAACAGGAAGGTAAGAGTAGTGAGAGAATGGGGGAGGGAAACGTACCGAGTTGCCGTAGGAGACCACGGTCCCCTTCCTCGCGACAACCTCCAGATCATTCTCAAACTGATCCTTCCCCGTACTGTCGTACACAACCCTGACGCCCTCCCCGCCGGTGATCTCTCTCACCTTCCCCACCAGATCCTTCTCCTCCTTGTAGTTCAGCATGAACTCCGCGCCGTTGGCCTTCGCCAGCTCGATCTTCTCCGCCGTGCTCGCTGTCCCGATCGTCCTCGCGCCGACGGCCTTCAGGAGCTGGCACAGCCACAGCCCGACGCCGCCCGCGGCCGCGTGTACGAGCACCCAGTCCCCTTTCTGGACGAGGTACGCTTCCCGGATCAGAGTCAGAGCCGTCAGGCCCTGGAGTAGGGACGCGGTCGCGATGCCGGGGGCGATGGAGGAGGGGATCAGGTGTGTTTTGGAGGCCGGGGCGCAGGTGTATTCCGCGTAGGCGGAGGTACCGAGCCCTGGGAAGAGAGGGGGTTGGTCAGCATGTACGTTTTTTTTTTTTTAAGACTTGGGGTGGTGCAGGTGTTAGAAGTGGAGTGGAGTGGAGAGCTGAGACTGGGAATGGTGAGGCCGTACAGACGACGCGGTCGCCGACCTTGAAGTCCTGGAGATCACCTGAGGGCCCGAGGGACACGATGTGGCCCTCTGCTTCGCGGCCGAGGATTTGCGGGTTCGCGGAGGGATAGAGGCCGGTGCGGAAATAGCTGGTGTGGATTGTCAGTAGGGTTTCAGTTGATCTCTTTCTCTGTTCATTTTTCGGAGTTCTGGATACTGCTGGACTATTAAACTCGGGGGGGGGGGGGGAGAGAAAGGGAGACACACGTGTCGATGTAGTTTACACCGATGAAATCGTTCTTCACCAGCACCTCCCCGGCTTTGGGCGTAGGGACTGGCAAGTCGGTTTTATACTGCAGCACTTCCACGCCGCCTGTCTTCTCCATCAAGACGCCCTTCATGGTCTTGGGGATCGAGGTCGCCATGGTTCTTGGCCCTTGGAAGTGCTTGTGTAGCTGTGAGAGACGGATCGAGGGCTGAGCTCTGGCGAAGAGACGGAGGGGCATGCGGCTCAAATACGGAGCAGGAAGGACTCAATTCGATTTTGTAATTGCGGAAACAAAAGATACGACGGGAAGGTGTTATGACCAACCAAACCAAAAAAAAAAATATTGGCCGACCCCTCCTCAGTACTAATAAGCTCAACCCGACGACGCCTGTGCAAGGATCGCCAGGTGCGGAACGGTTCCCTGACCGGATCCCGCCCTACGCTGAATAATCATGTGGGTTGGAAGGTGATCGGTACAGCAATCAGTACGAATTCCTGTTTTGAGAATTTAGATTTGCGTAAGTAGCGCGATTACCTGTACGGAGTGCGCGGTAGGGCCATGATGATTTAGCCCGCAGAATACAACGTCGTAGGACGGAAGCGAAGCATGTTGATACTTAGTCATCATTTCCTGCCAAGCGGCCACTTCTCTTTGCCATGCACTCATTTACTCTGTATACCAGAGAGTACGAGAGTAGTAGTAGTAGTAGTAGTAATAGTAGTAGTATTGTTTTAACGTCTATAGCGGCTCAAAATGAGTCCGACTTACGACCTCTTTACGGGTACCGGTATACCGACGTGCCACGAACAGCTAGAAAACTAACAGTACAAGAAGCATATAGCGTAAAGGCAAGATCTTGGATATCGAGAGCAGCGTCGTTTCCTTTTACCAAAACGGTGTGCTTACAGCTTCTTACCGAAAGCCGATTGAAACCCAAAAGCAGAGCATTGCGTCGCTCTGGGATTCCCGCGGTGAGTCCAAAGTCTCTTCGATAAGCTCCGAATGATAGATAGGTACCTAGGGTTGAGCTCTCACCGACTTCGGTTATTTTGTTTTAGCGCACATGTACCTACTACGTAGGTATAACCGAATCCCAGATCCCAAGAACTCTTCCGACGAGCTCTCACCGGCCTCAATCCCGTCTCATCGCCTCATATTCTAAATCGTGCGAGGTAGAAAGTCAACCCTTCATCTCGCCGCGATCTCTTCCGTCCTTCTAGAACCGTGTGTTCATTCTGATCTTTCCTCGCGGGTTCGGCCCGTCCGGAGGAGATATAACGTCGGTAGGAGCGTGTAAGAAAGGTTCCCTTTGACGAGCGAGGTGGTCGCGTACGTAATGAAGCAGTATACCGTAAGCGTGAGAGAAAAAAACGTAGTCAAAGGTCGTTGAAGAGCGAGGCGAGGCGTCGAGTTGTAATCGTAATAGCGGAGGTTTGTTTGAGATGCAGAACCTCGATAGCTCGACACACCGACTTATATCGGGTTCGAATATATGGTAGACGAAAAAAATGCATTAAGGTTTCGTCTATTTCGTCTTTTTAAACCGTCTATCGTTCCGTCGGCAGGTACGATAAATATGGCTAGCATCGTGTGCACTGGCCGAGCATCCAGAACATGGCTTCACGACTTCACGGCTTCACGACTTTTACGCGCGAAGATATACCAGGAAAGCGCAACCCCTCCCTCCCGCCCTGGATCCAATCTCTCCACAGGCAGGATGGATCAAGTAAGGATGTAGCTATCATAATCCTGTGGACTCTCCTGCTAGACCTGGCAGGAGCCGTGGGCGAAGGGGTTAAGTGCAGGCTCTCTCACATCGGATATCTTCGTGTGGGCTGGCTGGCTATTCGAGGACCGGTTGTTCAAGAGGGGAAAGGATGGCCTTTTGAGGGGAAAAGGAAATAGGAGGGGGGTGGGGGGGATATTGTGTTGAGCTTGGGGGCTGGGTGTTGAGGTTGGTATTGAGCTTGAGCTTGATGGAGTGTTGTGTGTGCATGTGGTTGGCAAAGAGGGAACAGAGAAGGGAGAGAAGGGAGAGAAGGCGGAGAAGGCGGAGAGAGAAGAGAGAGAGAGACCATGCCATGAACTGTATGTGTACAAGAAAACTTGTGATGCAATGAAAGATGTGGTGCGATGCAGACGAGGAATTCTCATCTACGCAGTATGATGATTTGTAAAGCAGATTCCGTGGTATTTGCCCAACCACTGACCCCCGAACGCCCTGCTATAACGCACATGGCCAAAAAAATACACACCTATTCTCCTCTTCTCCTCTATCCTGCTCGCAAGTTTCACCTATCCCCATCCACCTCCCCACGACTGCATCACCGCAAGTAATGCAGCACCAGCCAACAGAACCCAAAGAAGATCAGCACACCCGCCCAGAAGATCCACTTATCCTGCTTCGCTCTCCGCTCAATCATGCGTATCGTATCACCGCTAACCCCGAGCGTGTTGGCGACGCTGTACAGCCTTCGCTGCGTGCCCTTGAGCATCTCCCTCTGCTGTCCCAGATCGCCCAGCACGGCCTGGCCCCGGGCCAGGTACTCGTCCAGCGCCGTGTGCGTGTTGGCGAAGAAGTTCTGCTCCCGCAGCGCGTGGTCCTCCCGCGCCTGGTCCCCGGACTGCATGCTCAGACTGCTCTGCCCGCCGTGTGCCGGCGCCCAGGGCGAGGCGACATTCGCACTGGCCGAGACGGCGGCGTTGGAGTACGGGTTGTCGGGCGTGGCGGTATGGTGCGGGCGCCGGCCGAGCAGCTCCTGCCTGTTCACGCTGTTTTGCACATCATCGTTCTGCAGCTTCAGCTCCTTGAACTCTTCCCGGAAGGACTGCAGCTCGGCGCGGAAGGACCTGAGGCGCTCTTCGGCCTTTTCTTTCTTGGAGGGGTTGAGTTCCGTCTTGAGGAGGTCGGCGTAGGAGTCGAGGGTACGCGAGAACGAGGTCAGGGAGGCGGAGATCTGGCCCAGGAAGGAGGGAGAGAGCGGTTGGCCTGCTGCGTGCGAGGAGAGGTCGCGTTTGAGAGAGGTGGATTGCTTGAGGGCGGTGTTGAAGAGGGTATTCTGGATTGCGGGTGAGCTGGGTTGGACGGGGCAAGTAGTTCTGTTATATCCAGGTGCTGCATACCATCTTGAAAGCCGAAGCCGACACGTGGCGAGTGGAGTGGTGCGGGAATGGCAGGTTGGGACGGAGGGTTTGCTATCTGATCTCTGTCTGTCTGTTCCTCTTGCGACGACGGAGTACGGAGGAGTGTTGGTGGGGGGTTTGAAAGGCAGAGAGGATGCAGGTTGTCGGTTGCAGGTTGTCGGTTGCAGGTCGCAGGTTGCAGTGTTGAATCCACGACGATGACTCTATTTTCCGTATAATGCCATCGATATGAGAGGACAACCCTGGCCAGCCCAGCCCAGGCCAGGCTGGTGCGTGTGCTTGTGCTTGTGCTTGTGCTTGTCCGGAGCTCTCGACTTCTTCTGTCACCCTCGCAGTCTCAGCCTCTCACCAACGTGGCTCGAAGGCGGCTGAACATCGGGACAGCCACACGGGGAGGAGAGGAGAGGAGAGGAGAGCGGCGCTTGATGACTACGGTACGGTACTATAGCCGTATCAATCCAGACTCAGATTCGTAGTACCCGTAGTATCAGAGTCTCAGAGTCACAGAATCACAGTTGCACACGGGGTACGCAGTCTATTGAGTAGCTAGTAGTATATGCTATATATGCCATATATGCCATATGCTGGGAGGCCCGATGTCTTGGGGTCTGGACTAGCAAGTCAAGTCAAGTCAAGTCAAGTCAAGTTTCCACGCCAAAGCCGAAAAGCATGCAGAGTCCCCACCCCACGTCTGTCCCCTGCAGCCTCTCTCGCTCGCTCTCTCCACGCTCACGCTCATGCTTACCTTTGCCCTCACCCTCACCCTCACCCTCACCCTCACATGCCAGAACCCTTCACTTCCCCATCTCCTCTCGCCTCTCTCCTCCCTCTCCTCTCCTCACAACTTACATCGCTCACCTCCCCTGACGAAAATCCCAATCGAAAAAAATAAAATAAATAATTAATAAAAAAATTCAAAATTACACCAACAAATAAAACAACCCAACCTCTACCGAGAACCCTTCCCATCAACTACCTACAGAACAGAACACAACACAACAGACCAGACCAGAGCAGATACCTTCCCTACCTACCTATACCACCTCCGCCCTATCCAATACTCAAAGCTTCCCCGACAGCATCGACATAACCTGCACTCGGTCACTCAATTGCGTCGCTTCGCTCCCTTCCTTGGCCTCTACGTGTGGCATCCTATTCTCCGTATCTCTTTTCACTCACCGAGCTGAGCTCTTCCTGTTGCGCTGCGCTTCCACCACACCTCGCCAACCTTCATCTCGCCCATCAGCTATACATCAATCACCCAACTGTGGAATCAGCGTGCTCTGCTGTCTTCCCAATTGCGCCCGGCATTCATCTCTCCTGCACAGGATCTCCCGAACGGACAAAAGTGCCACGACCGATCACCGATACCATCTCGTGCGCACCATTCAGCCTCCCCCGACAAAAGGCAGCTCAACTCCCCGAGGAATGATAGCATTGACCGCAAGTCATTGTGCGTCTTCTCTCCCGAAACTCTCTCAAATCCTACTGACCAGGATCTGAAAGCCGCCCTACTGCCCTGATCTCCCAAGATGCCGACCATCACCTCGAACTACATCCTCCCCGCCATTTTCCTCAACCCCGCCGTCATCCTCCACCTCATCAACACCTTCCTCTCACATATCATCCCTCCTCCACCTTCCATATCGCACTCCCCTCACCCGTTCTTTGAGAGCCTCGGGCCCCTCCGCAACGCCGCCGTACAACTCGACATGCACGCCGACGACCAGCTGTGCTGGAGCTATACAGCCCTCATGGTCCTGGTGCAGATCCTGGCCTTTGGCCGCGTCAACGACAACAGGGTTCGGAGGAACGTTGCCAAGGCCGCGATCCTGGAGCGCGAGAGGATCAGGAAGGAGAAGACGGACGAGGACCGGAAAACCGCGGCGCTGAAGGGGCCCGGACTCGCGAGTGGGGGCCTGGATGGCACTTGCGACGTCTCTACCGAGCCCAAACCCAAGGTCAACGGTGCGGCGGAGGCTGGCGCGAAGCGAGAAGCGCCGACGGCGCAACACCGGAAATCAGACTCTGAAAGCGGAACATCAGGCGGTAACCTGTCTGAGACGAGTGAGGAGGAGCAGATCCACTAGGCGGGGTGCGGGAGGGCGGGTGTACTATACCAGTTTGCTTCGATGGGGGACCAGTCCGGCGGATAGATTGGATTGGGCGAGAGAGAAAAGCTGGACAGCATGGCGTTCATTGGGTGTTTCCAGGCGTGATTGGCAATTCGTACAGTACCGGAGGGAGTATTGGAATTCCGCCTACGGGCATGGGTAGGAGTGAGCACTACAGGCAATGAGAGGGGGCATTCCACGTCCAGAGGATACGGCTAGAGGGTGCTTCTGGAGCCATGTGACAAATTCAGAGACAGCGAGCAACGGCACCCTCCGAGTGGAGCGGCAGCAGCATTTCCCAATTGCAGTGCAGATGAGGATGAGAGAGGAGAGAGCACGCAAGCCGGAATGAACCCAGAGACGGGATAAGCTCATGAGAGGCTATACTAACGCCTTTGATTGAGATTCCGTATAAGCCATACAACATGTAACACCACCACATCGGGACAGAGCTCTCAAGGTAGGTAAGGTAAAGCCAGGGCCTCGCTACGCGTGCGTCCCCGGCATTAGTGACTGCTTTCCTTTTGGGGAGGGGGGGCGGTGAGGTATATACATACCAAGGTATGTACGTATGTATGTACGTATGTACGTATGTATGTACGTATGTATATATGTATGTATATATGTACGTACGTACGTATATATCCATCAACCTCCCAGGTCCACAGGCCACAGTTTTCCACTGCCTTGAATGTGTGAATGTATTAGAGCTATCTCCCCCCCTCCCTTTTGTGCTTCACACCCGGGAACGGAGGTGGGTGGATGGGTGGGTACCTGGCTGGGTAAGTGGATGGGTGGGTGGGTAGGTGGGTAGGTGGGTAGGTGGGTAGTTAGTTAGTTACATAGACTTCAGTGGTTCGTTCGTTTGTTTGTTAGTTTATAGAGGTAGGTAGGTAGGTAGGTATGTATGTATGTATGTAGGTAGGTGTATATAGTCAATCCACCAATCTGGTTTGATATCCTGGTCAGGTAGGTAGGTAGGTAATTGGTTAGGTAGTTGCTTAGTTGCTTAATTTTCTTTCTTTCTTTCTTTCTTTCTTTCTTTCTTTCTTTCTTTCTTTCTTTCTTGGTTGGGATCGGATGGGATAAAGATTAAAGTGGTTGGTTGGTGGGTAGGTTGATTCGTTTAAGTGATTGATTGGTTTATTTATTGATTTATTTATTGATTTATTTCTTGGTTGATTGGTTGAATAGATCACAGGGCACTCTCTCTTTTTTTGTTCCGTCGTGGAGGGGTATGATATGTTAGTAGTGGTGGTGGTAGTAGTGGTGGTATCATTCATGGGTGGACTTTTTCAGAGGATGATTGATGGAGTTTGGATCGGGATGGGATGGGGGATAGATACCGGCAGGTG